GCGTGCTGCCTTCATCTCCATGTCACCTATTTCCACCTTTACACATCATCATCATTCATCCATCTTATCCACTCTGACGCCATTCTGTCCTCCTCATCTCCAGATGAACACCTGAACATCACATTTTCACCTCATTTAATCAAATTTCCTTGAAAGCCTCTGAAATAAACTAAATTCCACCTCCCTGTTTGCTCATAGTTCTGAAACCTGCGGTGACACAGGCTACAGTTTGGGGTTGAGGCTAGCAGTCAGTATATCTAAGTGAAGCAGTTCTTTATTTTTAATACATATTTATAAAACTCTTAGATGACTCACAAAGACAAAATACGTTTCCTCTTTCCGATAAAAAACAAAAAAAACAAGCTTTAATGGAGCATGAATTACTGTATGTTTGTCATGCTCAATGTGAGTGTAGTGATATGTGGCTCTGAGTTTATTGGTAATATAACATATATATATATATATCCCCTCAGGGCTGCATCCTGATCCCCTGCTGTTCACCCTGATGACACACAACTGTGTCCCCAGGTTCACCACCAATCACATTGTGAAGTTTGCAGACGACACCACAATGGTGGGCCGCATCAGTGATGACAATGACCAGAACTACAGAGAGGAGGTGGAGCAGCTGGTGGACTGGTGCAAAGATAACAGCCTGATCCTGAACGTGGAGAAGACGAAGGAGATCATCTTGGACTTCAGGAAGAACCGGCCTAACCACGCTCCACTGCTCATCAACAGCTCAGCTGTAGAGGTGGTCAACAGCACCAAATTCCTGGGGGTGAACATCACAGACACCCTCACCTGGAATGTAAACACCACCTCACTGATCATAAGGGCACAGAAGCGCATGTACTTCTTGCTGAGGATGAGGAGAGCCCACCTGCCCCCACCCATCCTCCCCACCTTCTACAGAAGCACCATAGAGAGCGTTCTGACCAGCTGTCTCACTGGGTGGTGTGGAGGCTGCAGCGCCTCAGACTGGAAGAAGGTGAGAACATTCCATTCCATCCCAGCGTTGCATGTCTCGAGCCCGTAACATTATAAATGACCCCTCACCCCCCAACCATAAACTGTTCTCCCTGCTGCCCTCTGGGAAGAGACTTCGCAGCATTCAATGCAGGTCCAGCAGATTCCAGAACGGTTTCTTCCCTACTGCCATTAGACAGCAACATTTTTAAAAAATGGGGTTTTCAAAAAAAAAAAAATATATATATATATATATATATATATGTAAACCCTGAATGTTGTCAACTATAGATCATACATTTATCATAGTTGCACTTTAAAAATGGAAATGTCTTGAGAGCTGAATGAAATTTCTTTTTGTATGCACTCTGTGTGTACAAAATGACAATAAAGTCTGTCTAAGTCTATAACCAATAGAGGTAATAAGTAGTTATGATATTTAACTTGAGCATTTCTACTGCTAATCTCTGGTGTAGAGTTGCTGAATTACGTCCTGATGTCCAAAAAAATCTACAGGTGGGGGTCATGGCCACCCCTCGCCCCTCCCCTGCTCACTGTCACACTTCATGGTCCATTGTTGTGGTCCAAGTGCAATTGAAATCATTTGTCTTCCGGAGATAAAACCTCAGGATAGACAAGGATTAGTGAAAAATGTTTTAAAAACAGAATATTTGACGTGATGCTATCGTTTCTCTCAGATATTTCAGACAGAGGAGCTGAAATCCACATCCTGTTCTCCCAGCGGGACAGGAACCAGAGAAGCAGTCATGCTCAGCACTGGTGTAGCAACTGTACCCAGACCTTCAGATGATGTTCTGATTTGGCTGCTGTATCAGATTAATTAATCTGGGTTCAACAGATGGACTCAGTTGAGAAACAACTCTGGATTCCCTGCTGCTTTCGTTTCCATGATATTCAGTTATTGCAGCTTTATTCATCACTCTGATGTTTGATTGTTGTACTGTGGCAAAACTTGAGTCTAAATTGATCAGCAGCACACGGTAGAGGTTCCGTCATGGTTCTGGGTTTAATCATTTTGAAAATGAAAGCTAATTGGGTACTATCACGTTACACCAGCAGGATACTTTAAAGAAACTTTGATCCCAAACATCCAGCAGGTGCAGGAAAAGATTGAGAAGATGACTTGTTATGGGTCAACCTGCTCAAAATTTAGAACCAGAACAAAGCAGAAGGGGGAACACCCTGATAGAATCATCCAGGGAAGAAATTTTTGTTTTTAAGGTGCAGTCCTGATTATCAGAGAAGGAAAATACAGGAATGTATGTTTGGTTGAGAAGAAGTCAAACTAAAAACTGATTATTTTATGTTTCTATGATGCTTTTTTTTAAAAAAAAATCCTTGTCTTTTTAATAAACTCTGCCTCTAATTTCTCAGAACTGAAGATGTTCCTGTTGTTGAGGCGGCCTCCTCTTCCTCCTCCTAGTGAGGATGAGGAGCAGCAGGTCAGACGGTGACGCTCAGCCTCCTCATAAAGCTCAGAGGAAGCAGCTGATAAGCAGAAGCAGCCGTCAGCCGCCTCTCTCCCAATTTCCTGCAGAACAGGAAATGAAAGGCGAGGGGCTTTGTTCTGGTTCTGATGCGACTTTATGAGTAGATGGCAGGTGATACTGACGGCCGTCTCCTCCACCTTCAAATGGCTCCTATCAGACCAAGAGGAGGAGGAGACGTCTATCAGAGCCATTGAAGCTGCTCAGCTGACATTTAAGGAGGCATCAGCTGGTTTGACATTTAAGTTCCTAACGAGGGATTAGACAGGAAAAAAAACAGGTTAATGAGAACAGACCCTGAGTTTAAACTGGAGTGAGAGCCTCCATTTCCCTTCAGAACCAGCAGCTGCTCCGAGGGCCACCTGAGAAAGAACCATAAAGATGAAGATTGAGCTTCACACTGATGGAAAAATCAGTAAACATGGTTCTATTTGAGCTTCTCTTCACATTTTTAGATCCAGAACACCTCCATCTCTCAGCTAGATCTATGAGTAAAGAACAACATCCTGTTAACTGCTTGATCTAAAGGTTCTTTGGACCAAAGAGATTAATATTCACCAATATTGAAAAATGTTTAAATAGTTTTCAAGATTAGGAATGTCCTAATTCAATATATTGAATTATATCGGTTTGCACCGATATAATTCAATTGATCAAAATTTTTTTGAATCTCCATACAACAAAATAAGCATTAAAAGTTTGTATGATTTGTGCCGATATCTTATCAGAAATGGAAAAAGTTGTATCGAAACCTTGCAATTAAAAACAGACTAATCAAGAAGCTCTGAATAATTTTACCTTTTATTGATTAAATTAAAAGCAACTGATTTAACACAATAACTGACATATGTGTGTAGCCTGGTATACCAAATTGAGCTGTAAGGAATTTAAGGTGGAATTACCTTCTTCAGATGTAATTAAGGTGGAATTTCCCCCTGCTTAGATGTAACAGGTTAAAGGTAAACATTTTTCCTCCAGATATAAAAAAAATGCATCTTGCACTACTCACTTTGACTGATTATTGATTTGCTCTGCCAACTGTTAATTCACACTACCAATTGTTTACATTTACATTTGCAATAACGTACATTAACTGTAATATGCAATTACCTTCCACTGCTCTTTTAGATATTTAGATAATTTAGATACTTTATTTATAAATTTTATAGAAAACCCGTCTGTATATATGTTATTGTACATAACTGTAAAAACCCTTTTTATAGTAATATCCACCTGTATATTATATTTAATACATATCTAGCTGCAAATTTTGTTCATAACACTAGTTACCTATATATTATGTTAATTATTTATAATGGTATTCATCTCTATACTCATTCAGTAGAAACCCATGTCCTGTATTTATGGAACCATTATTTATCCTGCACTTGCTGCTATAGCACTTCTGGTTAGACCTGAACTGCATTACGTTGCCTTGTACCTGTACCTGTGTAATGACAATAAAGTAGAATCTAATCTAATCTAATCTAAAAAGGTTTGGATTTAATGTAGAGCTTAAAAGGAGAAATCATAATTGGATATAACGAGTTTAAAGTGGACTTTTTATTTTTAAATCTTGATATAATGTGGAGTTTAATTCGATACATTTAAACTTAACAAATTTAATGTGGATGTTTTTATCTCCAAGATATTTAAATGTAACCCTTAAGGTTGAACTTCCACATGTTCAGATGTAAAAAGCAGTCCTGTAGTATTTGAGACAAGGCTCTATCTTGTTCTCAACATATTTATTTAAACTCATTTGAGATGTGTGACATTTATTTTCTCAATAAGGAGCAGTGTTGCGCCGATGCAGTTTTTTAGTCCCGATACCTGGCTGTGCAGTATTGGCTGATTCTGATACCATCGGTTTGAAATTGATGTGTCTGTGTATATATGAAGATCTGCATACTACTTGGATGTAAAATAATGGCTTTGTCAAGCTGCTGCCTTCCTTTGTGAAGCAGGAAAAAGACTAATACAAAGTGAATCCAGTAGAACTTTTTATTGCCTACCTGGAATGGGCGACAATAGTTGAATAAATGTTTGGCTCTCAAAATGGTATCAGTGCCCTTTTTGTTGGTACTCGACGACACCGATACCAACATTTTAGTGCTGGATTGGGGCCCTTTCCGATACTGGTATTGGTGCAACACTAATAAAGAGCATAATTGCTATATCCTTGTTTTAATGCAGCTTCTACATTCAGGTGTAACCAATAAAATCTTTAATGCCTTTGGTTGATATTTTAAGCTGTGATTCAAACTTTAAAAGAGGGATTAAAAAACAATCAGAGGAATAATTAAAGGTAAATAAATGTAGTTTGCAGAAATAAAAAGCGTCGAGTGAACTGTGTCCTCCTTCTCCAAATGACTGTTAAATCCCTTAGCATCAGATTAAATGGACCAAAGGCGGATGGTTGTAAACCCTCTGAGGCAGAATGGGTCTCCTTAAACACAGCATTAGTTTCACCAAAATACACTAGAATAACATGAAGCTGAAATGTGTTGAAGAGCTTTTAGCTTCAGTCATCTTTGGTAGCTTTATTAAGAGAGACATATGTGATGAAGCTGTTAATATGAGACCAAAAAGGGCATTGGCAGCTTTTTTAATGAAGGAAGGTAATACACTTCAATTTGGGACAGGCTGAGCGGTTTCAGCAAGTCACTTTGGGCTTTTACACTTTAAAGATGAAAAAAACAAAAGAGAAACAAATGAAAAAAAAAAATAAAAATCAGCTGATGCGTCGATAATAGAAATACTGATTAGTTGCTGTTTGCAAGACGAATATATTCTCCGGCAGTGTCAGATCAGCAGGCGAGTTCTGACTTGGGAAACACGCGAGTGGCACATATGTGAGAGTCCAGGTGAGTCCCCACCTGCTCCTGTCTGTCCTGCAGGTCAGGATCTTAGAAAACATCAGGAGCAGAGAGACGTTAGAAAGAAGAAGAAGTTAGAAAAATAAGGTTCTTAATAATCTGCGATCCTTTGTACATCCTTCTCCATCCACCTTGGAGCTACACAGCGCCCCCTGCTGACCTACAGTCAGTCTATGCGTTAACTACGAAGTGAAGACCCCTCTGGAGCTGTTCTGGGGTCTGTTTTCCCGGTAGTGTCCGTTAGAACTGACGTCCTGCTGCTGAACGGGCCGTGAAGCGGATCCGCAATCTGAGTTGTGTGAAACTCGGCGCTCTGTGTCGAAGCCCAGGATGGTGCTGATGGAGTGAGGAAGGTCCTGCGGAGAAGATCAGAATCAGAACCAGGTCCTGGTTAGCAGCAACTCTTAACATCAGTTCTTAGCTGAACCCTCTGAGTCTCCAACATAGATCTGCATATCTGAGCCATAGTATCCATGGCAGCCATCATCCAACCTGTAACCTGCCTATCTGGGCCATGATACCATTGTAACCAACATTCAATTTTCCTATCTGGGCCATGAAACCATGGTAACCATCATTCAATCTGCCTATCTGGGCCATGAAACAATGGTAACCATCATTCAATCTGCCTATCTGGGCCATGAAACAATGGTAACCATCATTCAATGTGCCTATCTGGGCCATGAAACAATGGTAACAAACATCCAATCTGCCTATCTGGGCCATGAAACCATGGTAACCATCATTCAATCTGCCTATCTGGGCCATGAAACCATGGTAACCATCATTCAATCTGCCTATCTGGGCCATGAAACCATGGTAACCATCATTCAATCTGCCTATCTGGGCCATGAAACAATGGTAACAAACATCCAATCTGCCTATCGGGGCCTTGAAACAATGGTAACAAACATCCAATCTGCCTATCTGGGCCATGAAACAATGGTAACAAACATCCAATCTGCCTATCGGGGCCTTGAAACCATGGTAACAAACATTCAATCTGCCTATCTGGGCCATGAAACCATGGTAACCATCATTCAATCTGCCTATCTGGGCCATGAAACCATGGTAACCATCATTCAATCTGCCTATCTGGGCCATGAAACAATGGTAACAAACATCCAATCTGCCTATCGGGGCCTTGAAACAATGGTAACAAACATCCAATCTGCCTATCTGGGCCATGAAACAATGGTAACAAACATCCAATCTGCCTATCGGGGCCTTGAAACCATGGTAACAAACATTCAATCTGCCTATCTGGGCCATGAAACCATGGTAACCATCATTCAATCTGCCTATCTGGGCCATGAAACAATGGTAACAAACATCCAATCTGCCTATCTGGGCCTTGAAACCATGGTAACCAACATTCAATCTGCCTATCTGGGCCATGAAACCATGGTAACCATCATTCAATCTGCCTATCTGGGCAATGAAACAATGGTAACCAACATTCAATCTGCCATGGTAAACATCATTCAATCTGCCTATCGGGGCCTTGAAACAATGGTAACCAACATTCAATCTGCCTATCTGGGCAATGAAACAATGGTAACCAACATTCAATCTGCCATGGTAAACATCATTCTATCTGCCTATCGGGGCCTTGAAACAATGGTAACCATCATCCAATCTGCCTATCTGGGCAATGAAACAATGGTAACCAACATTCAATCTGCCATGGTCACCATCATTCAATCTGCCTATCAGGGCCTTGAAACCATGGTAACCAACATTCAATCTGCCTATCTGGGCAATGAAACAATGGTAACCAACATTCAATCTGCCATGGTAACCAACATCCAATTTTCCTATCTGGGCCATGAAACCATGGTAACCATCATTCAATTTGCCTATCTGGGCCATGAAACAATGGTAACAAACATCCAATCTGCATATCGGGGCCTTGAAACCATGGTAACAAACATCCAATCTGCCTATCTGGGCCATGAAACAATGGTAACCATCATTCAATCTGCCTATCTGGGCCATGAAACAATGGTAACAAACATCCAATCTGCCTATCGGGGCCTTGAAACCATGGTAACCAACATTCAATCTGCCTATCTGGGCCATGAAACCATGGTAACCATCATTCAATCTGCCTATCTGGGCCATGAAACAATGGTAACAAACATCCAATCTGCCTATCGGGGCCTTGAAACCATGGTAACCAACATTCAATCTGCCTATCTGGGCAATGAAACAATGGTAACCAACATTCAATCTGCCATGGTAACCAACATCCAATTTTCCTATCTGGGCCATGAAACCATGGTAACCATCATTCAATTTGCCTATCTGGGCCATGAAACAATGGTAACAAACATCCAATCTGCCTATCGGGGCCTTGAAACCATGGTAACAAACATCCAATCTGCCTATCTGGGCCATGAAACAATGGTAACCATCATTCAATCTGCCTATCTGGGCCATGAAACAATGGTAACAAACATCCAATCTGCCTATCGGGGCCTTGAAACCATGGTAACCAACATTCAATCTGCCTATCTGGGCCATGAAACCATGGTAACCATCATTCAATCTGCCTATCTGGGCCATGAAACAATGGTAACAAATATCCAATCCGCCTATCGGGGCCTTGAAACCATGGTAACCAACATTCAATCTGCCTATCTGGGCAATGAAACAATGGTAACCAACATTCAATCTGCCATGGTAAACATCATTCAATCTGCCTATCGGGGCCTTGAAACCATGGTAACCATCATCCAATCTGCCTATCTGGGCCATGAAACAATGGTAACAAACATCCAATCTGCCTATCTGGGCAATGAAACAATGGTAACCAACATTCAATCTGCCATGGTAACCATCATTCAATCTGCCTATCAGGGCCTTGAAACCATGGTAACCAACATTCAATCTGCCTATCTGGGCCATGAAACAATGGTAACAAACATCCAATCTGCCTATCGGGGCCTTGAAACCATGGTAACAAACATCCAATCTGCCTATCGGGGCCTTGAAACCATGGTAACAAACATCCAATCTGCCTATCGGGGCCTTGAAACCATGGTAACAAACATCCAATCTGCCTATCTGGGCCATGAAACCATGGTAACAAACATCCAATCTGCCTATCGGGGCCTTGAAACCATGGTAACAAACATCCAATCTGCCCGTTTGGGCCATTGTATCATTGTAAACAACCAGGTTCCCAGAGAGTCCCTGAGAACTGAATCCCCACCTTGCAGCTGCGGATCTGATGGTAGATGCCTTCAGCTTTCTGCAGGATCTCTTCAATGTTGAGCTTCATGGAGAGCTCGTTGATGTGCTGAAACATGAGGAAAAGAATCGTTTAGCTGATTCAGTTTCAGCTCCTGCTTGTTGGGTCTTCACAGGAATCTTATTGTGCTCAAGCTTTACTTTTGTTTGATTTAGGGATAAGGATCAATGGCTAACGCTAACTGGCTGTTTCTAAATAACTAAAGCTAATGTGCTGCAGCTGACTTGGTGCACCTGATATGCTGAAGCTAACTGGCTGATCCTGTTTTACCTTCAGAATCTCATTGAAGCCGTAGTTTTCCTCCATGATCTTCTGCTTCTCAGAGTCCAGGATGGCGCAGCAGACCAGCAGATGGAAGTTCTGACAGGGCAGCCCGGTCCACATGACCTGAGGGGAGATGGACATGTTGTCACTAGGAACCAGATATGGCAAAGATTAGGATCTAGACTATTGGAACGGGATGGGATGTTTGGGATGAGGTTTATGGGTTATCTTTTCTGCACAGGTCCAATCTAGATCTTTGTATCTCAAACTGCTTGCTGAGGTAAAGACATACCTTCCAGCTGATGTTTCTGATCAGGTCATTTAAGTGTTAAACAGGTTTAACTTATTTAAAGAGACAGAGACTTTACTGCTGCAGGTCCTTCACTCCTTGACTTTAACTCTTAACATTAAATCTGAAAAACTCACTTTCAGACCCCTTATGTGCCACGATGACCAAAATGTTCAGTTTTATATATTTGCTCCTTTTTCAACCTATGTTTTATGTTTACATGTTTTTGATCATTCTGAATAAAATAAAGACAAAATAAAGTTACATCAAGAAAAAAAAGGCTTATATCTTAACATTTTCAGTGTGGATGGTTTCCATGGTGACCATGTAAGCAGAGGATCATCAGGTAGAAGTGGAAATATGAAGTATGTCACCAGCATCTAAACAAAGTCATTGGTTCTGAAGTCTGCAGGACTTTGATGCTCTGCAGGCTTCAGGGACCTGCTAGAAAAATCTTTAGAAGATACAATCTCCAAACTGACCTCCCAGAGCCGCAGGACGTCGTGGAAGCTCAGTTCCCTCTTAAAGCGGATCAGCAGCCAGCGGAAGCAGAAGTAGAGATAGCCGGAGTCCTGGGACTCTGAGGGACACAGAAACATGGTATCAGCGACGGATCCACGGGAATGTGAGCAGAGTGAGATCCAGAGAGCGCTCCATACCGAGGTAGTTCCAGAACGCCAGGTCCAGCAGTCTGAGCAGCGTGCTGAGCTGGATCAGCTGTGTCTTCATACCCTGCATCTGTTCCTCAAAGTTCTGATGCTGCAATACAAACAAACCCAACCTGCATGATTTAACGGCTCAGCCGTCTCCTTTAAATAGAACAGAATTCTTCATACAGACCCGTTTCAGGCAGATTGGTTGTCTCTAACAGAACCATGAGCTAAACCTCAGAATCAGAACCCAGATTCTGTTCTACTGGTTTGGTTCCAGAACTCCGGAATAAACTGAGATAGACAGAAGGAGTTCTGACCTGAACTGGGTTTGAAAGTTCTGATGTGTTCTGATGTAACCATTGAAACAGCAGGAAGTGAAGTTCTTCTGACCTCCTGAACCAATCGGCTCCTGAGCTGAAACCAGTGACTTCACATGGATGGTTCTGGTTCTGACTTGGTTTCTTACCATATGGTCCATAAAGGAGACGAAACACCAGAAAGCGTCAACTTCGTTCTCCATAACGTAAAGGATCGGTGACAGCAGGTCGCTCATCCCCTGAACGTACCCTGGAGGAACATGGAGGGTCGGTGAGTGACAGAACCTCTGGAGTCCAGCAGGGGGCGACCCGGTTCTGACGGCCCAGAGGGATCAGAGGCATCATGATGCTGTATGATTGATGTGATGAAGATCTCACCCAGGTCGAAGTCGTACATGCAGTAGGTCATCAGGTTGTCATGAAGCACAGTCAGGGTGGGGTTGTTCGGACCTTCGTAGAACCGATTCGTTCGGTCCGTTCGGTTCACGTCTTTCTCTGCAGCAGAACAGAACAAACATATTGAACCTTCTCTGACCTCCATGACATCCTGTATGTACAGCGCTTCCAAAACGCTCCAACCTGCTGGAACTGGATCAGCTGAGATGGACCGGTACATCAGCCGGCCGATATTTTAGGCAGACGTTAATGTTTTATCGAATTCTATGCGCTTCTGTTCACTGATTTACCACTAAAATAACTTATGTGTTACATAAAGTAAAAGATTAATTGAATAATAAGACATAATATCTATAATAAAACACTTTGATCGTTCCATTTCTGACTTACTGCATAGAAATATAGGAAAAGACTTAACACCAGTTTTCTTTTTACAAAAAAATCGCAAAAAGAAATGTAAGTGGAAATCGATCAAGAAAACCATCAAATGAGGACAGTTATGAAAATTTCCTAATTTAGCTTATTACAGTATTTAGAAACTGAACTACGAAGCTCATACATCATGTTTACCAAGTAATATTTAAAAGATATCTGATAAAAAGTATATTTGTTATGATTTAAAATGGTGTGAAATAATTGTAAAACCAACATTTAGAACCGAAGTACTGAAGCGTTTCTGTTTGTGGGACAATGGAGAAACTAAAAAAGCTAAATTGATTAATGTTTTCAAAAAATAGACATAAGACACAATGTTAATAAAAAATAACAAACCGACTTAAACTTTGTGCTGAATGATGATATTTATAAACAAAACAAAGGGTTTAATCCAAGAAATGTCCACAAAGCTACTTGTAAATAAACTGCTGGTTGGCTGAGTTAGTTTCAGTGTTTATTAGTTTAATATTTATAATTGGCTTAACTATTTGTGTTGATATTACTGTGTAAGAACAAAACAAATAAAAAAAAAAAAAAAACTGAACTCAGCAGCCAGACACATCCATCCATCCATTTGCTCTCCGTTATTAATGTTTTTTTCATTAAATCTTGCATAACATTTCTTATCATTATGTCATTATTTTCATGCAAATGAAGAGAAAGAAAAATATCAGCCTAAATTATAGATTAAAAAATACCTGCAGCCACATCAGGGATCGGTTAGACTTTGCAGAATAATCGGCATCTGTGTCAGCCTTAAAAACCTCTATCAGTCAATCTGTAAATTGAAGTTTGCTTATTACTATGTTGCTGGAAAACAGAGGAGTTCAACTCGTCTGAGGTTTATGGGCCCAGAATTATTCTAATCCTTTCAACAGTAAACTGGAGGCTTATTTGGTGGTAAAACTGGACCATTTTCTCCTAAAACATTGGAGACGTTCATCCTGGTCCTATGATGGTAAAAATGTGGTCTCATCCCGTCTGCCTTCCACAATAATCAGACATATTTAACTGCTGAAAGAGGCAGGACCACGGCTTCAGATAAAGATTTGATCATCATCATAATCATTAGGAGTCTCTAGAAGCGCCGTGATTCTGCAGATTTAAAATGTTCAAAGAAGGATTCTGCTGATGAAACCTGGAGGCTCCTCCTTTTCCTCACCGATCAGACTCCTGTTGTCTCTCAGTCTGGAGTTCCTCCTCTCCTGCTCCTCACTGATGGATTTCCACTGCAGCTTCATCCGGAAGTATTCATCCCTGTTGAGACACACGGAGTCACCGTCACCATGGAAATACATCCCTTAGTTTACCTGTTAATCCCTGACCCGATTCGTTTTCGGATCAGTGACGTTAACAGGTTCGGCTCTAAACGAGCTGCCTCGTTAAAAACCTCCTGAGTTTTCCGTCTGCGGCCTCCTGGGCTCGTGCCTCCAGGTTAGTTGTTGAAGGAACCATTTTTAAAAATTTTTTTTACATTAAAGGCCTGGATTATCTTTTAGAGTCTAGCTGTAGGGTTTAGATCAGTGGCGGCAGGTGGTGCTTTCTCCAGGGGGCTATAAATTCAAAATAGACGTATTAAGTATCAACGTATCAAGACGTACCAAAAACCAAGTATATTTATATGAATGCCAACAGCAAAAAACAATATTATAAAAACTATTTATAAAAAAAAAAAATAATTTAATGTACAGGTTTACTTTTTGTACATAAATATTGCCCTTCTAAGGCTTTGTGAATGTAAATTTGTTTTTTGCATGGTCCAATATGGTGTTAAAAACCTAAAAAAATTATGTACCAGTTTAATTATGGAGAAGCTATTAGTCAGCTTTATATTTTTTTAATATATAAAAACTATTTATTTACTGAGAATGTGTTTATTTAAGAGAAACTATGCAAATTAACAAACATCTAGAAAAAGTACACTTTATTGTATGTTAATTCTCTAAAATTAGTTGCCTCTTAACTCTCTAAAGAATGCTAAAACACATCTTTAAAAAATGTTTTATGACTTTTGTGAGACAATTTTCCAGTCCCACAAAATATGATTAAACCATGTTTATCTGGATTTTAGTTGTTTCTTTCTTTAGATCACACACATTATACCATAATGTTAACACGAAAGGAAAACATAAAACTCAAATAGACTAAATTTATGTTTAAATCCAAAGCCGAAAACGTTAGCTCCTGGAAGTAGTGTAGGATCCAATTTCCGGTGCAGATCCGGCAGAGACGAGTAATAAAACAGAAAGGATTTTAAGGCATTTATTTTCTCAGGAAATACTTTATTAAACTTTAACAAATTATATTTTAGTACGTTTAATACTTTTGCGGAGGGAAAACGTCATTTAGGTATTTTTAACAAAATAAAATCGAGGACGACCCGGATGTATATCTGGATGCGCATATGAGCTGATGGCGCATGTGCAGAACGGATCGTGCTTCCAGGACGGATCGGGTAGTACTAGCGAGCAAATACACTTCCTGTCACTTCAGGTCGCTGCTTAGTTGCGTCCTTTGCAGAGATTAAACATTTATCTTGCACATCTCAAAAACATATATCAATACAGTATATTTCGAAATATTTCAAATTTCAATTTAAAATTACATTATAAATAAATATATTTTTTATGTCTTAAGTAGGGATGCATGATATAATCGGCCCCCTATCGGTATCGGCCTTAAAAATTGAATATCGGACATCGGCCACCCCACCGATATTTAACCCGATATTTGATCAGCTTCTGAGTTTCTAAAGTCTAAAAAAATAAATAAAAAAAATACTACTACTTCTTCTTCCTCAAAAACTTCTTAAAAACTTCTAAAGACGAGGGAAAAAATATTGATACATTAAAATATCCCAATATCTTCATATGCTGATATATTGCCATTTAAAAACACCATATCAATCTCTTTTACTAATGAAATATTGCTATATGTCATCGTTATGCTACGAAATCCCCTGAAAATTCACGAAATGTTGCCATATTTTTATATGTTGATATATTGACGCGGTATCGATCTATTTTACTAACAAAATCTCACAAGAATTTGCAAAATATCACGAGAGTTTGTAACAGAACAATGAAATTTCACGAGATTTTGAAAGTAAAATAGATCGATACCGCATTTTTAAAAATCAATTTGATATCAGCATATGAAAATATATTTGAGTATATTATTTTTCAAAGTGTCAGGAATGGATAACAAAACTGCTATTTTCAATGACTACTTATTTTTGTCCAGCTTTAACATCGGTATCGATATCGGTTATCGGCTACATGAGTTTTAAAATATCGGCATATCGGATATCGGCCAAAATCCCAATATCCTGCATCCCTAGTCTTAATCAGGGTCATTGGGTGGGTGGGGCGGTGCCCTAGCGCCCTCTATTAGGCAGCCGCCACTGGTGTAAATCTAAAGTGGGAACTAATGCTATGGTCGTAGAAATGAATGCAGCTGAATGCGGAGTCCCCTTAAAGACAGGAAGACAAAGATGTTTGTGGGTTCGTACGTTTTGGCCCTCTGCAGAGCCTTCCTCTCCTCCAAGGTGCTGCTCCACGGATAATATCCCAGCAGGAACTTCCAGGCTTCTTTCCTGATAGCGTGACACAGACCCTGCAGGCAACAGACAGAACCGGGTCATCTGGTCTGATCATGAGGTCACATGACTGACAGGGAGCTCCTTCGGTACAACATGTTAAAACTTGATTGTAAGAAAATCTAAGTGCTTAATTTTAAGGCTGCAGGTTCTTGTATGGGCATGGTGCATTATGGGTAAAGTAGTTCTTTATGAAAAAAGGCTGCTACATGTTCCTACAGACAAACCATGAAAGACTTACTAAAGGTAACAGAAGCCATTTTTGAGTCACTATCTAGATTTTATGTCACTTTGGTATGTTGTTTCCTGTTTCACCTGTCTGCCTGCAGCCTCAATAAAAACATCAGGGTTTAAAAGCCTGATTCGGCCTGGATGTAACACATCCAGGAAGGACAGAAACAGGCGGCAGACATGGAGGAGTTCTTTTCACCATGTCTGTAAGGAATCCTGCTCACTGAGAGAAGGAGCTGATTTCTGTGTTGGTTTACTGAGACTTGCCCCTTTAAAGATCCTCTGTCTGAGTGTGGCCTCATCCTCCATCCTGCCCTCGGGATCCTGGTGTTTACTCCATTCGTCTGCGGACAGCGGCTCCGCCCGGGTCACCTGAGGCCTCAACCCGAGGTCGATCTGTCACATTGGAGGTAATGATGTCCGAACTTCAGTTCAGTGTATTTAAAGTGACATGTTCAATCAGATCATTCAGACAGACTGGTTAAAAGTAGAGATTAAAAAAGATAAATAACTTATGATTTAAATTCATTCCATCTAATTAAATGAAAACGTCTGTTATAATGTTACTGCTACTACTTACTTCCCCTGTTTAATGAACTTTCTGTGGTTCTGTTAAGCCGGGCATAAACTGTACAATTTTTTGCCCTTTTCAGGCCGATTTTCCAGCTGTGTGAGAATTTTTCCGACTTTCAGCCTGATCGTGCGTCGTGAACAGGGAGTAACGAGGGGCGATCAGCCTCTCAAGACCACCTCCCCATAAGGAATCGTAAGGTCGGGAGAAAATCAAGCGTTTTTGAAATTCATGGAATGGGTGGTATAACATAGCGCAGACCACACTTTAAAACTGGGCATAACTCAAAATTATCTGCGGCTCATTGCTGTGAGAGTACAACCACCCCTTTGCCTCTCAAAACCCACTGTTTTAAAGCGTTTACATAGGATAACTCAGAATCCATGAAAATTACACTGGTAAAATGTTTACCAATAGACATGTTAGACATCGTTGGAAAGCTTAGATTCTCCACAATTCAACCACCTAGTTCATTTTATGGACATAGCAAGCAACAAAGCAGCATGTCGAACTGTAGCATGACAAAGCAGCCACAACAAGCAAGCATGTCTTTATCACTGCTGTTCAAAAAATACTTATTATTTTCGAGAATAAAAAAAACTAACTTTGAGTCATGTTTGAACTGATGCAGCTTGGGTGTTTTACTCGCCCAATTTTCATGTATATATTCAGAAACTAAAAGGTGTTAAGCTTTCAAAAAACGTATCACACATGTAATTTGGGCTTACATTTGCTAAGTTATTTGCTTTTCCATTTGGGTATAAAAAATAGGCGAATTTCCCAGAAATTAGGTGGATATTAGGAGGTTAAAGCAGCTGGATGGATTTTAGCTTGATTGCTTCCCTGACTCTTGATTGGCTGAAAGGGATCACGTCTGAACCTGATGTTCCAGCTGCTCACCCTGGTGATGACCTCGAAGCCCGGCTCCTCCTGCTGGTTGATCTCCAGACCTGGAATGACTTCACCCAGAAGGTCTGCCACCTCCTCAGGGGGGCGCTGCTGCTGCTCCTCTGTCCCCCTTAGAGCATCGTAGATGTAGTTGGTGACTTTGGAGAAGCTGCCCAGCGTCGTCACATACGGGTCCCGCTTAAACTTCTGCAGGAGGAAAACCTCAGATTAACGAGATGCTGATCAGAGCCATCAGTCAGACTCTGGAGGGTGTGTGAGTGTTTATGTTCCTACATGAATGAGGCCGAAGCTGTTGTCGTCCATCAGGTTCTCGAAGGACTGGGACAGAGCTTTGTTTGGGGTGCTGACCAGTAGACACGATTCATCCTCAGGACACCTGGAACACACAGACCCTCAGTCAGCTCGGCGTGTGCGTAAGCAGAACGTCCCTCTGCAACAGATCTGGACCCAAACATCCGGCACCGACGCAGCCTTTCACTGAGACGCAGATAAGAACTTTAATAAGACTTATCAGCCTCAGCAGCAGCAGAGAGCCTCAACACCTAATCTGACTTCATCTCAGCCTCACAACATTTTATCGTTGTAGAAATTAATATCGAAATGATCCGTCTCTGCAGGCGGTCTGTCTGCTTATGGAAATAAATCAAACAAAAAGAGACTCACAATTCTGCGAAAAACAGGCAGCAGATTTCCATCTTAAAATTCCTTACTTTTCCAAACATTTCTGTCTTTGCAGCGTATTTCTTCTGAGGAGCCGAATTTCTGAAGAACCAGTCAGACAGACAGTCAGAAAGGACCTGACCATCATTTATTTATCCAGGACTGAGAACTTCCACACCTTCTCCAGCATCGTCTGTCGCTGCTAAACCTGCCGATGGCACCACTACTGCTTCAACCACGTCAGCCTCTTCAACCCAGGGGGCTACCACCCTTACAGCATCGCCACCATCCTCCTCTTCTTCTCCTGAGCTAGGAGAAACGAGTGCTTCAGGAGCTGGAGGCAGTAGTAGCAGCTCAACAACAACTGATGGTGAAGCACAGGCAACAGGCCCTTAATGCTCCAGCATCAGATCCTCTTCCACCAGGGTAAAAATCCCATATTGGATGCTTAGATCCTATCCAGATCTGTCTGACATCACTGCTGCCAAGCAAACATAGGGCGTTTCTCCATATGCGCTCTTGAGCGTTCTCGTGTGCTCGTGACACGTCATCAGCCTCAGCCCGAGTACCGTTCCAATTCTCGAGAACGCCAGATCGAGAACGCACCAAATCCCCGGATGTTGTTCTGCCCCGCCCTCTTTATCGAGCATGCATCAGAGCAGACTTGTGCGTTCTTCAGACTGACCGCTTCCCCAGAATGCCCCGCGGCCGCAGCTTGATTCGAGACAGCGCTCACAGTGTTAAGTTAAACATTCCCTTTTCTGCTGCTGTTGTTCTTCAAAAGTACGTTTTGAAATCGTTTGAGGCGATAACATTACACATTGAAGCCTCCCTGTGTGGTTTGTTTACAGAGTTAGTGCGAAAAAAAAAAAAAAAAAAAGTCTGACGTTGAGCGGACCAGAGTGACCAGCAGACCTCCGAGGGTAACCGCAGCCAGGGCTAATGTTACCCCGTCTGTAGTGCACTTCTCTCGGTCTAGTTATGTGTGAACTACCGCTCGTTCTGATGGCGGTTTTTTGCGGTTTGGTAATTTTTTTTAAATGTTTTTTAAGCTTTAGAAATTAAAAATATTGTTTTCAAAATGTTTTGTGTAGGGAATAAATAGTTTTGACTTTTAAAGAAATGCTAAACAACGTTGCATGTGATGACGTCACGAGTACGCTTCTGTTCCAATACACATACGTGCTTGCGTGCTCGCGTTCTCGTCAAGTCCGATCTTCCTGCGTTCTCGGCAAGAACGGACTTCACGAGAACGCGAGTACGTACTCGCGTTCTCGTGAATTGAGAAACGCCCATATAGTGACTTAATATCAGTGTTTTTTTGTTGTTTTTTTTTTAAATCACTGCTGCTTGCCTTATCAAGGCTGCACTTTAAAGAATAAGATGGTCTAATGAGCCATCCTGAACTGACTTTCTTTTCGTTTATACTGTGTATACAAAATGACTAAATTAATCTTAGATCTACTGTCATTCTTTTTTTCTAAAGGCCTGATATATTCCTTTCTTCTTTTTCGAGATCAAAATGACATCAAATGTTGCACTAATCTCATTCATAACAAATCAAACCAATCTTTATTAACAAATTAACAGTGGAGAGCAGATGGAGGGAGCGTTAGCAGATCAGTTTCATCTGATCTTAAAGCAAAGCTGCTGAAAGCAGTAATAAATTTACGCTGCATCTTTCGGCTGATACAGATGCAAGAAAAATATTGGCCTAAAATATCGGCCGTCTGATGTATCGGTAAATCTCTGCCAGGAAGTCCCTGAATGATTCATCTTCACCACCTTCTGTTTCAGTGTGACGCTGATAAAAAACAAAAAAACAAACAAACTGTACATTATAACAAACTTGTCAAACTTGTTAAAAATAACTTTTATCAGCTCCGAAATGGTTGGGATAATAATTTTCCCCCCAACGTTTTTCTTGCTAAACTCAAACTATTAAATAATCATCTTAGATATTTATAACCTGACAGACATGTTTTTATTCCAGGCAAAAATCTTTTCTTTTCTCCTCTGTGAAGAGTAGAGACCCATTAATCCAGATTTTTTCAATCTAATCTAATAACTAGGGATGCACGATATTGGGATTTTGGCCGATATCCGATATGCCGATATTTTAAAACTCATGTAGCCGATAACCGATATCGATACCGATGTTAAAGCTGGACAAAAATAAGTAGCCATTGAAAATAGCAGTTTTGTTATCCATTTCTGACACTTTGAAAAATAATAAACTCAAATATATTTTCATATGCTGATATCAAATTGATTTTTAAAAACGCGGTATCGATCTATTTTACTTTCAAAATCTCGTGAAATTTCATCGTTCTGTTACAAACTCTTGTGATATTTTGCAAATTCTTGTGAGATTTTGTTAGTAAAATAGATCGATACCGCGTCAATATATCAACATATAAAAATATGGCAAAATGTTGTAAATTATGGGGGATTTCGTAGCATAACGATGACATATAGCAATATTTCATTAGTGAAAGAGATTGATATGGTGTTTTTAAATGGCAATATATCAGCATATGAAGATATTGGGATATTTTAATGTATCAATATTTTTTCCCTCGTCTTTAGAATTTTTTAAGTCTCTAAAAAAGAAGTTTTTGAGGAAGAAGAAGAAGTAGTATTTTTTTTTTTTTTTTTAGACTTTAGAAACTCAGAAGCTGATCAAATATCGGGTTAAATATCGGTGGGGTGGCCGATGTCCGATATTCAGTTTTAAGGCCGATACCGATAGGGGGCCGATTATATCGTGCATCACTACTAATAACCTGGACTGAGTGGGCCGATACCGACCCAGCATTACTGTTTAATGAATGATCAGGCTTGACATGTTGAAAATCGATAGTTAAAAAATCAGAAACGGATATAAATCCTTAGAGGCTGCAGTGCTGCTCTGTGTGATGATGTAACCAACACTGCAAACATAGAATAGAAGTGACTAGATAACTGTAACTGAGTGTTTTTACCAGGTTTGATATTAATAAACAATGAAATATCTGGATGGGCGTCCTTCAACTGATTCAGCTAATTAGTCAACATCAGAGCTGATATCTGATCCCGGTATCAGGTGGTTGCGGCTCTAGTGAAAGGTTCTTCTTTTTCTGTATATATTGAAACTGTTCACAGTATTTCTATTTTAGAAAACATATTTATTGTGCAGGAATAAGATCTTAGCTCTTTTTCACTGGTAGCCAAGTAATCGACATTTCGTTGTCAAGATTCAGCTTGTGTTTTTTTGTGCAATGACAATAAAGGAAGTCTAAGTCTAATAATCCAGCAGCTTTTGAAAATTATTCCTGTCATTCTGTTTGTTTTTTTGGTGCTGATTGGAAACATAAAAACACAAGTTCTGCTCTGCTCTTCTGAATGATCAAAGTCTAGTTCAGGCTAAAGGGCTGGTTATACTCTGCAGCTACTCACTCTGTCAGCAGAGCGAACCTCCTCAGGCTGTCCAGGAACTCTCTGCTGCCGCCCTGGTGGAAGTGCAGCGACGGGAGCAAGCTGGAGGAGTCCTTCAACTGGAGGATGAGGAAGGTCCAACCTTCCTCCTTCACCTTAATGGAGCTGAGGTCGCTGATGTTCACAGTGAAAGCCCAGCGGCTCCGCTCGTTGCTGTGATTCAGAGAGCCTGAGAGACAAAACGCAGGGCTCAGAAAACACCCGACAGATGGGCTGCTTTTAAAGACTCCAACATAGACAGTTCCTACTCCTTGACAGAAACTCCTCCATCAGTCATGTGTAGACCCACCCTCTCCATTGGTGTAATTCCTCTTCCTGAAGGACACGGCGTTCACCATGTCCCACTCTGTCTCATAGCTCTGCTGCGTCTCCAGCTGCTGCCGGGACTGGGACTTCTCCCTGGGACACTGGGCCCACTCCACCACCGAACTGGAGTCCTGAGGAGAAACAAGACGCAGCTACAGATCATGACGTCATTAAAGGGGATTAAGCTAAGGTGAGGTCACAGAGGAAGCAGGGCCAAACCTGTCCAGCACACAACATATTGGACGGGTCAACGCTGTCCTCCAGAGGCCGGTATTCGACCAGGATCTCTGCATCCTGCAGGTAGATAAGCAGACTGATCAGCAGGCCGCCAAACATAAAACGTTCTCATCTTTTTCTAAACGCATCACTGCGGTGACAAAAAGGCAATGCAATTACAAAATGCGGAGAAAAAAAGCTACAAAAACAAACACATTAAATACATGCAAAAGAAATAAGCTGCAAAGAAGATATGCTGCATCTTCAGCTAATAGAGAGCAGCAAAATACAACACACCGCAAAAATTATTCAGAAACGGCAAGCGGATCCAAAAGAAAAATGCTGAAAGGAGCAAAAACAAGAAGTAAGGCTGGAGAATAGTTTAATATTAATAAATAACGAATAACATTCTATTCACTAACAGTAATATGACTTAAACACATTTTACTATATGTCTATGATTGTAATATACGTCACTGACGTTCTGGTTTTTAAGCATTCAAAAAAAGCAAATAGTTCTAAAATGTTACATGAGAAGTTTTATAAAATTAGTAGAATAACTGTCAGGCTTCTGTTCCATCAAAGCTTTTTATTTTGTTTATATCGATAACTCATATCCTATTAACAAATATTTTGTAATATACTTTTTGGCTATAATGTCCTGCCATAGCGGAAAGGAATGGAAACAGACTATAACCATTATAAATCAATGACTTAATTCAATTCTCTTTGTGTTCTGGAGCTGATCTGTTGTGACAATCCAATTTGCAGGTTTACTTTAATATCTTGAAGCATTTTCCCTTGCATGTGTTTTTTTCTGTGCTTCCATGGTCATATATTGATGGTTATCAGCTCTCTAATCAGTTATGGGAGGAACTAAATGTTTTGGCTTCATTTGAATATTTATATATATATATATATATATATATATTTTTTTTTTTTTTTTTTTTTTTTAATTGTTCAGCTTTTAAGAAAATAATACAATTACAGAAAAATGACTTTCAAAAACAAAAACACACAAACACATGGGCAACAACACAGAACATGACAGCACTCATCAAATATCTATTCCCAAACATATTGATGTACATACACACAGTATGCAACAAACCCCAAATCCCATAAAGTTGTAGGGAAGCGGCTTTTCCAACCGTTTCTCGCAAATTCTCCCGAGTAGTGTACGACTTTACACGAGTGAATAAAGTGAATGTGATTGGTCTTTTATCAAGGGACGGAATTGTTGTGGCGGAAGGTTGGCAAGCAAGTTTGGTTGTGGTCGTTTTCTCTGAAGCATCTTGCTAACCAGTTAACAACTTAGTGCTAGTAGGTTCCCAATGGGAAATTCCATTGGGACCAAGGCCCCGTCCACACGAAGCCGAACCCTGGCCTAAACGCGGCGTTTCGGGGGTCTTTAAACGATCTTTTTTTATTCAGCCTTCAGAGCGGGAAGATTCTGAAACGCCGTTTTCGCGTTTCCATCTTTAAGCTCTAACCGCATTTTTTTTTTTTTTACACGCATGCGTCATAGCGTCGCCTCTAAACACGCATGCGCGACACAGTATCACAACAACAATGGCGCCGTACTGTGTTGAATGGTTGCTGCTCATGCTACTCACCCTGCTGTCGGGCTTACAACAGAATCTTCTTCTTCTGGAATATCTCCAGGAAGAACAGAGCAATATCGACGACATAGTTCAGCACCTGAATTTGACTGAACCACGAAAATGGACCCGCAGGGCAAACATGTATAAATATTAGTGCGCATGCCCAACATTTCGTCGCTTATTTTTGCTTTGGCACCACAGCGCCACTTACAGGCCTGGCATACATTTTGCAGCGTTTTCATGCATTCGTGTGGACAATCACATTTATTTTACGTCTCTACGTCTCTTGTCTTTACGACAAACGTTTTGGAAAATATCAGTGTTTCGTGTTCGTTTTGACTTCGTGTGGACGGGGCCCAAGTAGCACTAAATTAGTGACTTAGTAACGACGCTGTCAAGGAACGCTACGGACAGCGGAAACATGCAAGAGGAGGAGAGTTTAGTGTCGGAGGTCGTGGATGAGTCTCCTCCATCATCCATTTTTTATTTAGAGGAGGAAAGCGGGGACGAAGATGTTTTGGAAGAGAACGCCAGGGCAACAGAAGCTTGGTTTGGTGTAGAAGGCTTCCAGCCGTACATGTTTGAGCCCTTGCCTCGCAACGCTGCCAGTTCTGTTAGCTCTACGCCTGCTGAAGACACAGACGTCCATCCCCGTGAACACTGGGACACAACTCAATGGGAAAGGAAAGGATTCTTATTTCAACCGTTGCGTATATTAGCTGCGACATATGAATCAAGATGCTATGACCAAAAAAGTATGCTTGACAGATGACCTTTGATGTATGATTGGCCGAATTTAGGTGTTCAGACTGATGTATAACTAACTGGCCTGCATAAGATAACGGGAAAAAAAAAAACAGATTTTAAGATGGGATTATTATTTTTTTTTTTATAGAAATTTTCAAAATTTGGGGACAATATCATCTGATAAAGAGTACATTTATATTCACGTTTAACCCAGAAAGATTTGACATTTAATTATGATTTCCTTAAGAATTTATACCAACACCCAAAATATGTATCAAAATACACCTTGGCTAACTTTACTCGGCTCCTTCTGCACCCTTGAAATCATGACTCCAAAGCTGCTACCTCTGACATAAGTTGAAGCCATTCCTTCATTTCCGGTCTATGTGGGCTCTTCCATTTACGAAGAATAATTCTGGCTGCTACCAGAAAGCCTGTCATCATTCGTCTACGTTCAGCTTTTGGAATACCCTCTGGCATCAATGACTTACAGGTGCTGGTCATAAAATTAGAATATCATGAAAAAGTAGATTGATTTCAGTAATTCCATTTAAAAAGTGAAACTTGTATATTATATTCATACATTACATACAAACTCATATATTTCAGATGTTTATTTTGTTTAATTTTGATGATTACAAATGACAACAAATGAAAATCTCAAATTCGTCATATCAGAAAATTAGAATATTGTGAAAAGGTTCAAAATTGATGGCCCCTGGTGCCACACTCTAATCAGCTAATTAACTCAAACCACCTGCAAAAGCCTTTAAATGGTCTTTCAGTCTAGTTCTATAGGCTACACAATCATGGGGAAGACTGCTGACTTGACAGTTGTCCAAAAGACGACCATCGACACCTTGCACAAGGAGGGCAAGACACAAAAGGTCATTGCTAAAGAGGCTGGCTGTTCACAGAGCTCAGTGTCCAAGCACATTAATAGAGAGGCGAAGGGAAGGAAAAGATGTGGTCGAAAAAAGTGTACAAGCAAGAGAGATAACCGCACCCTGGAGAGGATTGTGAAACAAAACCCATTCAAAAATGTGGGGGAGATTCACAAAGAGTGGACTGCAGCTGGAGTGAGTGCTTCAAGAACCACCACACACAGACGTATGAAAGACATGGGTTTCTGCTGTCGCATTCCTTGACTCAAGCCACTCTTGAACCACAGACAGCGTCAGAAGCGTCTTGCCTGGGCTAAAGAGAAACAGGACTGGACTGCTGGTGAGTGGTCCAAAGTCATGTTCTCTGATGAAAGTAAATTTTGCATTTCCTTTGGAAATCAAGGTCCCAGAGTCTGGAGGAAAAGAAGAGAGGCACTTCATCCACGTTGCTTGAAGTCCAGTGTAAAGTTTCCACAGTCAGTGATGGTTTGGGGTGCCATGTCATCTGCTGGTGTTGGTCCATTGTGTTTTCTGAGGTCCAGGGTCAACGCAGCCACATACCAGGAAGTTTTAGAGCACTTCATGCTTCCTGCAGCTGACCAACTTTTTGGAGATGCAGATTTCATTTTCCAACAGGACTTGGCACCTGCACACAGTGCCAAAGCTACCAGTACCTGGTTGAAGGACCATGGTATCCCTCTTCTTAATTGGCCAGCAAACTCTCCTGACCTTAACCCCATAGAAAATCTATGGGGTATTGTGAAGAAGAAGATGCAATACACCAGACCCAACAATTCAGAAGAGCTAAAAGCCACTATTAGAGCAACCTGGGCTATCATAACACCTGAGCAGTGCCACAGACTGATCGACTCCATGCCATGCCGCATTGCTGCAGTAATACAGGCCAAAGGAGGCCCAACTAAATACTGAGTGCTGTACATGCTCATACTTTTCATGTTCATACTTTTCAGTTGGCCAACATTTCTATAAATCCTTTGTTTTTATTGGTCTTCAGTAATATTCTAATTTTCTGATATGATGAATTTGAGATTTTCATTTGTTGTCATTTGTAATCATCAAAATTAAACAAAATAAACATCTGAAATATATGAGTTTGTATGTAATGTATGAATATAATATACAAGTTTCACTTTTTAAATGGAATTACTGAAATCAATCTATTTTTTCATGATATTCTAATTTTATGACCAGCACCTGTATCTCCTAAAAGGCGGAATTGTGCAGACTCTGGTAAAGGTTAACTAAAGGCCAATTTATACTTCTGACGTAGTCTCTGCAAAAGTCAAATCCATCAAAAAGCGACCACGCCCCCCCACGCAGAGGTTCTGCAACCGTTGTCGCACACCTAAAAAAAAATCCTGACTAGGCGTCGGAAAGTCGCAAACCTACGCAGACCTCAAGCGGAGGTGCGCAGACAAAAAGGAGCTGTGATTGGTCCTTGGTATGCCTTTCCGGCTGTCTGCGGGGTCGTCCTGCTCGATTCGGTGCCGGGGTGCGCCATTTTTTATAAACTGAGGAGCAACTACAATGGACAACTACGACCAAAGGTTAATCTGTCTTTTTGCCAACTCCATTAACAGAACCTGTTCCTCTTCGATGTCTAGCAACTATAGATCCATCTCCGTGACCGTGATATCTTGCAGACGCGCCATTGTTGTTTTGGAAAATAAAAACTCCAGCTGGTGCCGCCAAAGTTCTCGAGTTCTTGAATAGGCTCCCCCTTGCGCTTTGGCAGAAAATTCCTGTGCGTCCCTAGAAATTCCAGACCAATCAGAAGCATACCAGCAGAACTGGTTTGCGACCAGACCCAAGCGACATTTGATGTGAGCGGTTGCAGAAGCCAGTCCTCCAGTTTTTTTCAAAACTGCCTTCCAAATGTAGCCTAGTAAACTAGCCCCACCCGCCAGCGGCAAAAATCTTCTTTGTCTGCGAGTGGTTTAGCCCCAATCAATGCTCCAGGCCCTAGAACTGTTGGGCCAATCACAACACAGAGATGTGTTTTGAATTTCTGGATGCAAAGCGGTCAGGGTTTTGAGGGATGGACGACAAAGCTGCGCGGTTCTTGCTTGACTCAGCTCTGGAATCAGTTTTGGAAGGATTAGACTTGGGGTTTTGGTTGAAACATGAGCAGGAAGAGGCTCTACGCTCATTTATTTTTAAGAAGGACGTATTCGCCGTTTTACCGACAGGCTGTTTGTTTACACTCACCCACCAGCTTTCTTTGGCGCTTAATACGTCACAGTCAGTTGCTCTCATTGGTCAGAGCGTTGGCCAATAGGCACAGACATGGTTTGAAAGACAACAGGTTGTTCTCATCAACAATCTTCCGATGTCTCATTCATCGGGGCCAAACTAGATTACACATTTAAACTTACATTTAGTCTGGTTCATCAGGATATTCCAAAAGGGGCAATCCCATAGTGATATGTACCCACCTCTTTACTACACTTCAACATTTGTTATCCTTTATTAGACCGGCATAGCTTACTTGGTATAAAATAATACCTATGTACAATTTTGTAGTGAATAAATTGATTTCTTGCATCCCTTGTAGCCCCTCCCACATTTGAAATAATATTTTCCCACACAGCCTCATCAATGTCTATCAAGATCTTTCTGGCAGATAATTCTTAAATTTTCACAAATTCATTTGAAGATTTTTCTCACCTTCTCCAGGATCCGAAGGGATCCTGAAACCAGCAGATCCTGGTCCAGGCCTCCATCATCTGGGCTCGGATGGAGGAAGATCCCATCATGCTCAAATATCACCTGCAGAGGCAAACGTTCAGTCACTGAGAGACAGGAACAGAATCAGGTCAAATCAGCAACCATGGGAACCAGATTCAAATCAGTAACCAGATTCAAATCAGTAACCATAGGAACCAGATTCAAATCAGTAACCAGATTCAAATCAGTAACCATAGGAACCAGATTCAAATCAGTAACCAGATTCAAATCAGAAACCATAGGAACCAGATTCAAATCAGTAACCAGATTCAAATCAGTAACCATAGGAACCAGATTCAAATCAGTAACCAGATTCAAATCAGTAACCATAGGAACCAGATTCAAATCAGTAACCATAGGAACCAGATTCAAATCAGTAACCATAGGAACCAGATCAGAAATGAACCACTATGTCAGCGTGGTTTCTCACATTTACATATTTTTAACAAGGACAAAACAGTTTTTAAAAAAAAACAACAAATAAACAATTTTAATCCGATTTTTACTTTCATTTTAGCCAGGCTGGCTCATGTGATCTGATGTATATCTGGGAACTTTGCTAGCAGCCCTGGGAGGGGAACCTCGGCCTGAAGCCTGGGCAGCAGCTCTGTTTCTGGGCGTCACTCCCCGGTCGGACTTTCCGCGTCCCGCGACTTTCCGACACCCGAATGGCCGGACCAGTCTGGTAGGAAACCGGTTCGGAGTGCAGCTCAGACTAGAACGGTCTGTCTGCTGACAGTTTGCCTCCTCCCCTCAGCTGCTTCCTCCTGCCACGGATATCCTAGCCGCTAACACGGCGGTTAACGGCCTGAGGTTTAGCCCGAATGGCTCCACGGAGCCCGGCCCAGTCTGAGGCCGAACCCCGCGCTTGGTTGGCTGCTGAAACCCATGTTTTCGTTTCATGTTTTCTTACCTTTAGCAGCTCCGCCATGTTGCTGCTCTACATCTGACGACAAGGCGTCACGTGACCAGCAGCTGCCAAAACAAAGCTGACAGCTCAGCTTCCGGTGACGAAAACACAGTTTCCGGTCAAATGTTTAGAAAAAAAATAAGACATTTTTTTTTAAATTAAGAAATCTAAGCTTTATTTATATTCAGTATTTTTTATTTTTTTTTAAGTACCTGAAGTAAAACTGAAATACAGGCTGATATCAAACCAGCACAAGATTATTTTTGGTTCAAGCTGAATTTGATCTAATCCCTTCTCCAGTTTAGACCATCTCTAAATACCTGTAACTAGTGATGGGTTGATTTTGTTTTATTTTTTATTTCACTTAAAGTCAACAATAACATATACAACATACAGATAAACAAATAAATATGCCAGAGGGTATAATGATATAATCATAATAAACAAGTACAGTCAGGAGGAAAGACAAACAAACTTACAAACATATTTGTTTAGCAATGTCATATATACATACATATATTTTACAAATACACATGTCCTCTACATCGATAAATTGTCCAGGATATTTAGTTGGGAACAGATTGAAAGGGTTTTTGTGCCTTTTGGTGAGAAGAGGGTTTAATAGTACTGAAATAATGTTTAAGTTCAATTAAATAAACATTAAAGTTTGGACTAGTGATGGTTGATGAGGCATCATGAAGCGTTTTAATACGTTACCAAACTCTATTGATACTGTTTCACTGAATACTGACACCTGCTGGACAATGAAATCCCTACAGGCAACCTAGTTGACAGAGTTAACTGACACTGATTTAATGATCTATTATACACAATAATACAAATTAAGTCATTAAACAAAAAAAAAATCTGTTTATTTCTATAGCGCCAATTCACAACACATGTCATCTCAAGGCACTTTACAGTTCACCAGATCATCCAGTCAAACTGATTCAAAGTTTTCTATCTAAGGAAAACCAGTTGATTGCATCGACTCATTGACTCAAATGCAATCCCTCACACTAAGCATGCTTGTAGCGACAGTGGAGAGGAAAAACTCCCTTTTAACAGGAAGAAACCTCCAGCAGAATCAGGCTCAGTGTGAGCGGCCATCTGCTGAGGCCCACTGGGGTTCAAGGAGGCAGAAGCAGCGATACAAAAAGCATCTGTAAAAGGCGACCCCGTCCAGGAAACACAGCCAGACAGACGAGCTCCGAGCCAGCTCCCATATGCCCATGCCAGAGGATGAAGAGAGCACATCCATCCAGTCACAGTCAGAGAAACAGGGCTACACTGGAAAACAGGCCGATCTCCAACATCTATGAACAAAGGTGTTGATGAGAGCTGTACGGATGTTAATTCTCTTCAGGATGGTGTCATAGCCAAACAGGAACAAGCACGTGCTGCATTGTATTATTTCATCATTTAATTTCGATTTAAAACATCTTTGATATTTTACATACAGTCAATAAATAATGTGAACCTGTATTGTAATGTAATAACCTCTAAATAAACATGTAAATTAGGATGTTGTGAACTGGCTTCTTTTTTTTTTCTTTAAAGATTCTTATTTAAAAAAAATAAGTTGTTTCAAAGTTTTGAAATTCAGTCTGTTGTTTTTCTGAGATCACTTCTCCAGCTGTGGAAAACACCTGCTCAAACAGCACAGATGAGGCTGGAGTGCAGAGAAATTGTAAGGAAAGGTGAAAGAGGTTTGGATAGACCTGTCTTTTGTTTTTTTCCCCCAGTATATATAATAAGGGGGCGCCTTGAGGTTCCCCAGGAGGAGCTGGCCCAAGTGGCTGGGGAGAGGGACGTCTGGGCCTCCCTACTGAAGCTGCTACCCCCGTGACCCGACTAGGGGTGAGTATTGGCATGGGTGTTGCGATACGATACTTGTCACGATACTCGGGTCACGATACGATATTATCACTTTATTGCATTATAACCATATATTGTGATTTTTTTCCTGCTATCAAAATTTAATGCATAGATAAAAAAGCAACCTCTGTATATGTTCATCAGATGATATTGATGGTTGAGTTATTTTGGTATCCATGTTGTTTGGGGTTTAAGTGAGTCTATGTCTTCCACGATGAACACCTCAACTATAAATAATATGCTGCACCGCACAGCAAAAGGGCACCACAGCGCCATCTGCCAGAGTGGCGGAACAAAGGTAGACCATTTTTCCTCAGTTTTAGGTAAAAAAAATGTTCCTTTAAAAAAATCGATACTAGGAACTAAAAGATCGATATCATATCAGGCAGCCAAAAATCGCGATATATTGCCAAAATGATTTTTTCCCACACCCCTAGACCCGACCCTTGATAAGCGGAAGAAGATGGATGGATGGATGGATGGATGGCTGGATGGATGGATAGATGGATATAATAGGATCCTGGGACCTAGCAATATAGCCCTCTACCAAGTATCTATGTACTTCGTGGATGGCATCAGCTGTGGCACTTTCTGCCTCCCCACTTCGATCTCAAGAAGTTTCTAAAGGTTATCTAAAAAAAAAACAAAAAAACAAAAACAAATAGCCATTTTAGTACATGACTGACAAACGACAAACAAATAATGCCCAACATGATGCCTGAAGTGAAGATATTCCTGGCTGGGGCTCATTTGTGCTTCCAATTATAGATGTACATTCTGACCGTAGTACATCTGGGGTCTAGAAGTGTCCCCAGGGTCAACACACTTAATGACTCCAGGTTGGAAGCAGTGTCTGTGACTCAATGCTTCAGGTACTCATGTAGGCGTTTTGCTGCCTCAGTCCGCAAAGTTGAATCATTACGCTCTAGTGCCATATAGAGTATTTTCATCATTGGGAGGACCTTTGACCCTGACACTTCTCTGCACACAACTCCACTGTTGCTAGAATGAAAGGAGCAAGCACAAGAAGTGTTTCTCCTTTGATGGTAAACTCATCAGCTGTAAGTGGTATAAAATCTGTTTTTAGAGTCATTTAAACATTCCAACTAAGATGTCTAACTTCAACAAGCAGATTTTGCATTATTGGAAAATTATTTTCACCCACAATTAATCGTAAATCTCAATTCCCTTGCCCCTCTCAAAACCCGGTCTGTATCCTTTTCCCGCTCTGCCCCTTGGTTTACTGCTGAGCTCCGCCTCATGAAAGCCAAAGGTCGGCAACTGGAACGCCTCCACAAAAAAACTGGTCTCTCCATACACAAAGAAATGCATAAAACTCATCTACTTCAATATTCAAATTCAATAGCCATTACTAAATCAAATTACTATTCTGACCTTATCTGTTCCAATGATGGAAATTCCAAGTCTCTCTTTTCCATAATGCATAAGATCTTTGACCCCCCTGACACCCTGCCTTCTTACATGTATTCTACTCAGACCTGTAATTCTTTGTCAACCTTCTTTAATGAAAAAATCTGCTCCATTCACCAGCAATTACATATGACCGCCTTGCCTCCCACTCCCCCTCCCCCGTAGCCAGTCATTTTCCTCCTTCCTACTGCCCACTTCTTCTGAAATTTCTGACCTCATCCGCTCATATCTCTCCGACCGCACTCAGTTTATTCAGCTCAAATCTTTCACTTCGCACCCTTCCCCTGTCACTTCTGGTGTTCCTCAAGGCTCAGTTCTTGGCCCCCTCCTCTTCATCACCTACCTTCTTCCCCTTGGCAGTATTTTCCGGAAATTCAACATTCACTTTCACGCGGATGACACCCAGCTTTATTTATCCAGTAAACCCACTTCCTCACTCCCCCCCTTGTCCCTTACTAACTGCCTACTTGAAATTAAAGACTGGTTCACCTCAAACTTCCTTAAACTAAACAGTGATAAAACAGAACTCCTCCTCGTTGCCACTAAATCCACCCTATCTAAAATCAAAAGTTTCTCACTACCCATTGACAACTCCTTAGTCTCCCCCTCCCCTCAGGTCAAGAGTCTGGGTGTCATCCTCGACTCCTCCCTCTCCTTTCAGTCTCACATAAATAAAATTACCAGGTCTGCATACTTCCACCTTCGCAACATTAACCGTCTCCGTTCCTCCCTCACCACTCATACTGCCTCTGTCCTTATCCACAGCCTCATCACCTCCCGTCTTGACTATTGTAATTCTCTTCTTTTTGGCCTCCCTCATAAATCTCTCCATAAACTTCAACTTCTTCAGAACTCTGCTGCTCGTGTCATCACCAGAACCCCCTCCTTCCATCATATTTCCCCTGTTCTTCACCAACTCCATTGGCTCCCAGTTCAATTCAGAATTCAATTTAAAATCCTTCTCTATACTTTCAAAGCCATCCATAACCTTGCTCCTCCATATCTGTCAGACCTCCTTCACATTGCCACCTCCTCCCGCTCCCTTAGATCCTCCTCCTCCATCCACCTCACTGTACCTTCAGCTCGACTTGTCACCATGGGGAGCAGAGCCTTCAGCCGCTCTGCTCCCCAGCTCTGGAACTCACTTCCTCCCGACCTCCGCAGTATTGACTCTCTCCCCTTATTCAAAGCCAGACTCAAAACCCATCTGTTCCAGCTTATCTGTGAATATACTGCTCTTTTCCCTATCCATGATTGTTTTATTGTTTTTTATGTTCCTGTATCTGTATTTTCATCTCTTTTTATTTTTTTGTATTATTTGTAAAGTGACCTTGAGTGTCAAGAAAGGCGCTGTTAAATAAAATGTATTATTATTATTATCTTTGAAAAGGAATGGCTCAACAAAGACATTATGTTAGATTCATTGGATGATAAACAGCGATATTTTAAGTCATTCAGGTTAAAAAATATATATATAATGTAAATTTTTCTCTAAGAGAGTATAACAAACTGTGTAAATCGATTCCACTGCTTTTAATTCACTTGGTTAGATATTCTAGGTTATATAATAATTACCCACCAATATTGCCCAATTTGTTGATTTCACAATGCAACTTGCTTGATAAAAATGCAATAATAAATTCATTAGCAGTTTTTTGAAAGCCAGAAAATTTCATGATTATGATAGATTTACTTGGAAGAGAGATAATCCTGGTAGTTCACATACAGTTGATAAAGCTTTCTCAAAATGTGTTAAATGGTCTATTCTACCTAAAGCCAAAGAAAGTTATAAACAGAATTTATCCTGTGGCAGAATTTTTAAGAAAAGGATTTGGTTTGGAGGTGGATCAATGTTCCTTTTGTAATAATAATAGTGAAACTCTTGAACATGTTTCTTGATGTCATTTTTTATTTGGACCATCTTCCCTTGTCTGTTTCTGATACTATTAATGTCCTGCTGTTGGATAAATGTCATATCCACTGTGCTAAATGGAGAAATGCTAAACCTTCCTTTCATTGGTTTATTAATGTATTTGAAACCTTTTTTTCTTCTCTTAAAAAGATAAAATATGCCAAAGATTGAGTCTTGAAATCTTTCCAACATCTGCTATTCTAGTTGTTTTTCATATTTCTATGGCTCTTTCTCTCCAAATGTTTGATATAAATCCCCTGCTATTTGTTTTATGTTGTATTTTTCAATTTTAATTAATCATCTGTTCATGTACACTTTTGCCATCCTCTCTGAGAGTATTTTTCATGTAAATATCAATGGCTTAATAAAAAAAAAAATCACAATTTTTTTCCTATACATGTGCTTTAAATTGTAAGAATCTTTAATTCTGCATTAAATAGACCATAATCGCCTATAAATTGCTGTAAAATGGTTTATACAGTATGGAAGAACATTTTGGATTTAATGTGTCATATACACACAAAGGTAATTTATACATTTAGAGATCAGAAAACGGACAAAATGTGTCAGAATTTTTAAACAGCACTGTTTAAACTGTTATTTCGATACAATCTGGTATTTCATGATTTAATGATGTGTGTTGTATTTTTATGGACATTTTTTTAAGTTCATTTAAGTCCTATTCTTACTTTATCAAATTATGATTTGATGTAAATTGTCAAAAATGACTTTATATTGTTTAAGTTTTAAAACTAAGGATCGGATTTATCAAGATCCAATTTTGCGTGCAGTAATTTGCGCTCGCAAACTGGAATTTTGCGCAAGGGGCTGAACCATGGTTTGCGGGTGATTTAACAAGAGTGATTGCGTAACTGGTGGCAGGTGCAAAACTGTTGGAGACGCCCTATTTAAATGATGGTTTTGCGCGTTTTGTGGTTTGCGGCAAAGTAGTTTGTACAAACTAGTGCATTAAGAAATTTAAATCTTACAGTGACACCCCCACACCCTCCAATATATATATATATATATATATATATATTTATTTTATTTTTTTTATTATTTTTTTTAGGGTGTCAGGGCGACATGTCATTTAGAACGACAGACAGCACTTCTGAAAAACTAGATTGGGAGATCCAATGTTTTGTGATATCTGGTATTGCGTGGGTCCTCCTTGTGGCTGGCTCCAAATCCATTCGGAGTTCCCCCAACAGCTCCAAAATGGCAATGCTGGATAAACGATATGTTTTGATGATCGTTTCCTCGTTCATTCCAAAATATTCACACGGAGTGAAAAAATGCGTTCTCTGCGTCTCCTTGCTTCATTTCGATGTCTCCTTCTTGCGACAATAACCGCTGCCATGTGTGCGCAATTACGCATACAGACCATTTGCACCTGCTTTTGAAACGTGTTAAATATAGAGTCAGATACCGTTAGCAAAATTGCTTTCAGGTTTGATAAATCACGTTGCAAGTGCTAAATTAATATATTTACATGTTCTCCTCCTACAAGACGCACTTTTGCGTGTAAACGCCCCATATTGCATATTCATTGCAGAAAAAGTACTAAATGGATAAGAGGCGCTATTTAGCACGTTTTAAAGACCAAATCCTTTTAGCACGCTGTTGATAGATCAGTTTGTACATTTTTAGCGTGCACGTTTTTATACACGCAAACCTTTGATAGATCCGGCCCTAAGACGGCAGCTCTCAGGGATCAGAGTGACTGGTTTCTGCAATGGTTCCTAAGAAATGCAGAATCTCAGTTTAATCTTTGCTTCCTTTGGTTTTTTCAGACAAGGTGAAGTCTTCATGGTTGATCCTCATCTTCATCAGAAGTTAATCAACAATCTGCTGGTGTTTTCAGAGCATTGTCCCCAAACAAATCAGATTTTTTCATTTGAATTCAAAACCATTTTCTTAAAACACGAGTCGATTATCTGTTCAAGCAATTGATGCGATTTTCAGTTCCAGCAGGTCTGACTTGTGATGTCCGACCATCCATCATGGCGTCATGTTTAAAAAAAACAACAACACTGACACAAGAAAACTCCAGACTCATTTCCATCTTTATAAAAAATAATTTAATAACATTTAATATGTAGAAAACAACACTGGCAGAACAAAAGTCTTTTTAGTTGTTACGACAACAGATTGCACATGAGCAGTCCGGCTGAGTTCTGCGGCTTCCCGTGGCGACTCGGTTTCCGTGGCAGTCTCTTACATATCAGCCAATCAGAAAACACTACAGCGGCAGGCGGCCGTCTTCACACTGATACCGGTTCAACAGCCTGAACACTTGTCTTTGATCAGTTTTACCAAAATAAAAGTCCACACACATAGAAAACAAAAAATAAAAGTGGGGGGGGGAGGGGGGGTGTGGCTGCCCCACCGCTTCTTAAGTGAGTGAAATAAAAAAAAGGGGAGGGAAATGGGTCCAACTGAAAGGTGAGAGCAACTAAAGAGAAGGTGGTGAAGAGCAAAGGCGTCACTCAGCAGCAGCTCATACTTACATTCACTGAGGTAGGGTGGCAGGCTGGGGGCGTGGCCTTACCTCGTCAATCAGTCACCCACTGATCAGCTCTACTATCAGTCTGATCACAGATCCACCCCCCCGACACTTAAGATGACCCCCGCCTGTTGGCAGCTGTCCACCAGCCGCTGCAGACGGTCGGAGGCTCCGCTTTCCGCCGCCTCGAACAACAACCGCTGCAAAGAGGAGGGGCAGAGAGCAGAGAGGGGAGCAGGAGGAGAACAGAGGAAGGGGAGGAGCATCAGAAGGGGGGAGCAGACAGATGAGGTCACACAGGGGTGGAGGGGACGGAGGGAAGGGCGAGGTGAACATGCTGTACAGAGGCGAGTCAAAACAGCTCAGTCACATGACCTCTAGAGTCTCTGATCCATATCTGATCATCAGGAACCAATCAAAACAAAGTGATCGATACAGACGGATACTGATCAGCCTGTACATCATCTACAGCCTCACTTTAGGTTCCTTTAACTCCTTCACATTAGAGGAAACTAAGTCGTGTTCCAGAACCAAGACTGGGTCCATGACTGGTTCTGATCTCTTTCAAATACAAACTTTCCTCCAGTTTCACTGACTAAATGTTTATGGCGTGTTTAAACAGTCTGAAAGCTCAAACTGTTTTCTGGGTACAGATGAGAACCGGTTCTGGTGTCAGACCCAGTCCACAAAAAAATAGATGAAAACATTTTTTTTTTTTCCCATCTGTGGTTTTTTTGTTTTTAGCTATTCAGTTGGTCCAGAAAGTGCATGCTTCATGTCATGTCAAGAACACAAACATCAGCTCAAAGTGGGCCTTTCAAAATAAAAGCTTCAATTACTGAGGAGGTGAAGGAGCATTAACTACTGAGTGTGTGTGTGTGTTTGTGTGTCACAGGTGAATTACATCTTTCCACAGGGCGGCGCACAGCGGCAGGTTTTGGAGAGCTTGCTGATACAGAAGACGCACCTAGAAGAACAACAGACAAAATAAGAGAAGAAGAAGAAAAGAGGAGACGGCGGAGCGTCGGCTCAGTTGAGCAGAGGCTAAGGAACAGCTGTAGACAGGAAACACCTGCGGGAGAGAGATGAGCCTCAGATTTCTGTCTCATATTACTGGTCCGTAGCCTCCAGGCACCAAAAACACTCCTCACTGTGGACGCTGTTTTTTTCTGATTTTTTAATTTTGCCAGGAAATTAAAAATTCAGAAGCGGAACAAAGATGTTTAAGCTGTTTTAGTCAAGCTATTTACTTCTTTTCCTTATGGAAGATGCTGCAGACTGATTTCCACTGTGATGCTTATCGCTAACAATAGATGCTAATCTCAGTTTAAAATTAATAATAGGAAAAATAAGAGGAACATCCAAGTTCAGCTTGTAAAACAGGCTAACAGAGTATGATGATTAGCTGAAATATTTGGTGAATAATTTCACTAGTTTCCGCCTCATACAGGTGCTGGTCATAAAATTAGAATATCATGAAAAAGTAGATTGATTTCAGTAATTCCATTTAAAAAGTGAAACTTGTATATTATATTCATACATTACATACAAACTCATATATTTCAGATGTTTATTTTGTTTAATTTTGATGATTACAAATGACAACAAATGAAAATCTCAAATTCATCATATCAGAAAATTAGAATATTACTGAAGACCAATAAAAACAAAGGATTTATAGAAATGTTGGCCAACTGAAAAGTATGAACATGAAAAGTATGAGCATGTACAGCACTCAGTATTTAGTTGGGCCTCCTTTGGCCTGTATTACTGCAGCAATGCGGCGTGGCATGGAGTCGATCAGTCTGTGGCACTGCTCAGGTGTTATGATAGCCCAGGTTGCTCTAATAGTGGCTTTTAGCTCTTCTGAATTGTTGGGTCTGGTGTATTGCATCTTCTTCTTCACAATACCCCATAGATTTTCTATGGGGTTAAGGTCAGGAGAGTTTGCTGGCCAATTAAGAACAGGGATACCATGGTCCTTCAACCAGGTACTGGTAGCTTTGGCACTGTGTGCAGGTGCCAAGTCCTGTTGGAAAATGAAATCTGCATCTCCAAAAAGTTGGTCAGCTGCAGGAAGCATGAAGTGCTCTAAAACTTCCTGGTATGTGGCTGCGTTGACCCTGGACCTCAGAAAACACAATGGACCAACACCAGCAGATGACATGGCACCCCAAACCATCACTGACTGTGGAAACTTTACACTGGACTTCAAGCAACATGGATGAAGTGCCTCTCTTCTTTTCCTCCAGACTCTGGGACCTTGATTTCCAAAGGAAATGCAAAATTTACTTTCATCAGAGAACATGACTTTGGACCACTCACCAGCAGTCCAGTCCTGTTTCTCTTTAGCCCAGGCAAGACGCTTCTGACGCTGTCTGTGGTTCAAGAGTGGCTTGACACAAGGAATGCGACAGCAGAAACCCATGTCTTTCATACGTCTGTGTGTGGTGGTTCTTGAAGCACTCACTCCAGCTGCAGTCCACTCTTTGTGAATCTCCCCCACATTTTTGAATGGGTTTTGTTTCACAATCCTCTCCAGGGTGCGGTTATCTCTCTTGCTTGTACACTTTTTTCGACCACATCTTTTCCTTCCCTTCGCCTCTCTATTAATGTGCTTGGACACTGAGCTCTGTGAACAGCCAGCCTCTTTAGCAATGACCTTTTGTGTCTTGCCCTCCTTGTGCAAGGTGTCGATGGTCGTCTTTTGGACAACTGTCAAGTCAGCAGTCTTCCCCATGATTGTGTAGCCTATAGAACTAGACTGAAAGACCATTTAAAGGCTTTTGCAGGTGGTTTGAGTTAATTAGCTGATTAGAGTGTGGCACCAGGGGCCATCAATTTTGAACCTTTTCACAATATTCTAATTTTCTGATATGATGAATTTGAGATTTTCATTTGTTGTCATTTGTAATCATCAAAATTAAACAAAATAAACATCTGAAATATATGAGTTTGTATGTAATGTATGAATATAATATACAAGTTTCACTTTTTAAATGGAATTACTGAAATCAATCTACTTTTTCATGATATTCTAATTTTATGACCAGCACCTGTATATAGAGAGGACATAGTCCTGCTTCTTTGGAAAAGTTTAGGGTTAAAAAAAATGTGGTGTAAAGATGAAATTTTATAACCTGACAACAGCCAGATGCATGTCTCGCTCCGCCTAGCTCCACTCACATACATCTGGGAACCCGCTCATTGAAAGTGATTTCCCCAACCGAATTTATGGTCTGTCCAATCAGGACGCAGGGCGGGTGTGTCCTGGAGTGGAGAAGCGACCGTGAGATTCCAACAACAATGGCGGCTCGCATTGAGGAAGCAAGCGTTGGCATTGATGCTGCTATTTCTTCTGTGTTGTCCAATCTATCTGATATTGTTTCATTAAAAGAACATCAGAGAACGGCTTTGAAGGCTTTTGTTGGTGGAAACGATGTTTTCGCCCTTCTCCCGACCGGATTTGGCAAGAGCTTGATCTACCAAATGGCTCCTCCTCTCACAGCGTCACGGGTTAGCTTCGATGTGAGTGGTTGAAATAGCACGTCAATAAAGATGACAGACAAGTGGCTTATCCAATCATATGCAAGGAGTTTTGATAAGGCCCAGCCTTCAGTAAAGGCAATTCCTATGGCGGGTTCCCAGATGTATGTGAGTGGAGCTACAGTAGGCGGAGCGAGACATGCATCTGGCTGTTGTCAGGTTACAAATTTTACGCTTAAATATGAAAATAATTAGCCTGGGTGCCATTCCGAACTTAGTCCTGCCCACAACGTTTGAGGTCGGGAAGTTCGGTCTGGCATTGCTCAATAGTAGCGCGAGTATGCTCGCACAATATCTGGCGGGCCTATCAAATTGTCAGGGCGGGCTTTATACGATGATGGACAGATGATCAACAGTAACGTAATCAACCACGTGACCAAAGCGCGCTTGGGTGACAACAACAATGGCTGCCGCTGGAGAGTTGAGGTGAGTAGATTCTGCTATTAGGTCTGTTCTAGAAGATATTGACAGCAAATTAATTTTAAAAGAGGAACAGAGAAACGCGATCAAGTCTCATCTTCTTATTCTAGGCGTGAAACTGCACGCTTTGATTTTTGTTGACAACAACTATGCATTGCTTAACATACGTCACGCACTCCGTTGTTCTTATTGGTTGTAGGTCTATCCAATTGAGTGCAGAGATGATGGTTACTGCAGACTGAATGATGAAGTTAGCCCCCCCCCCCAACAGTACAGGGACTCACCTGGCCACGCTCCTTCAGCTCCAGCTCCACAGCGATCGCTCTGAACACAAACACCACAAACAGTCAGTCAGTCGGTTCTGATCTTTGGATCTGCTGTCGATGGTCGGTCTCCCAAACTGAGACCAACACTGAACCAGTTCCTCAAGTGCTTTGATTTAAACTGATCGCTTAGAGCTGCAATAAGCTGGGAATTCAGCTCATATATCACAAATGAGTGCAGTAATTTAGGCCAACATATTCCAGAGATTATAAACTATAATATATATATATATATATATATAATAATTTATGCTGAACTGAAAGTCTGAGACTCCTATAAAGGATAAGGTTTAATCACAAAACATCTGGAACAAGCTGCATTTGAGAAAAAATAAATAAGAACCTGAATCTATACTCAGTTCTACATATCAACCAGAGGTTCAGCTGGAAATCAAACTATTGAATCATATCTGATCTGTTATGATCATGATCCACAGTCGCTGAGGTCTTCACTCACATTCTCCAGCTGGACAAACATCTGGGAGTGTTGGTGGTCAGCATACGGGCCTGAAACTTCAGCTGCTCCATGTTTCCCTCAACAAACTCCTGATGCAGCAACCTGCAAGGCAACAGCACGGCTCACACAGAGCTGCAACATCACGGACGAATCTGTAGGGGCGTAAAAGCGTGTGCTCCTGTTTTTTGTGAGGACATGTGCTGTTTAAATGCTGCTCTCTGTTACTTGATTGTCTCTACTTTTAAATAAACACAAAAAGGTCACACCAGAAGTTTGGGAGGAACCTTAAACCTGAGGGCCATTAGATTCCCGTCGGACCGACTGCATTTCTGATACTGATGTAAAAATGGCGGAACCCTGCTCCGGCAGTTCGGTACTCCTGAAAGCAACAGGGAGTCAAAGAGATGGTCCTCACTAGATATAGCAGGATGAGAAGGTGTGCGTACCTAAGGCCCAGCTCAGTGTTGCCTGGCATGGCGTTTCTCAGCCTCTCCAGCACCAAAGCATGCTGGGATTGCGGCACATGTCTCAGGTAGAGGGACACGACCTGCAGGAGGAGACAGGAACCATCAGCAGCAGCGACACGGATCCTCATGTTACTGAAGTTGATTCAAAGTTTCTGAAGCTGCATTAACAAACTGGGTGGTTCCGGTTTACCGACCATCAACTCTGAGGTGTTCAGAGGTAAACCCGGCCGCGCTCCGGACCTGCCGGTGTCTCACCTTGTTATGGAAGTGGTAGCAGCTCCAGAACTGTGCGGGGTTGAAGGGATGCTCCAGCCGTGAGGGGAGCGTGCTGAGGCAGCGATGGACCAGATCTGGGAACAGCTTCCTGGAGGCGCTGAGGGTCTGCGGCCTGCAGCTGAACAGCAGGTAGCTATGGTGGGAACAGAGAGAGCCCAGTCAGACGAGCGGGAGCAAACCTTTACGCTTCCATCCCCCCCCCACAGCAGGAACACTCACTCCATCCACAGGGTGTGAAGGTCCTCCAGCTGCAGCACCGACCCCAACGCTTGCTCAAAGGCCTCTACCGCCTCCTCCTCAGAGCCGTGCAGCCACATCCAACGACTGAAAAGATAAATTTAAATCTAGCCCTAAAGATGCTCAGAGGTCCAATCCCTCCTGGGATTAAGCTCCGCCCACCTTGGTCATGACCTGAGAGCTACAGAAAGACTCACCAGTGAATTAGGTGAAGGAAAGATGTTTGTTGCCTGAGCTGCTCCTCCAGCTCCTTCCTGATGATGGCGCCACTCAGATGCTCCTGGGTTGAAAAGCCTAAGAAGTGTCTGATTGGATGAAGAAGAGACGTTAACCTTATGTAAACTCCTCTGGATGCCACATGTGGAGCGTTGCCTACCGCAGGATGTCCACAGGCGCCTTCTGACTCTGTTCGTCCTCACAGAGGGACAGGATGAACCCGCGGAACAGAGGAGGGATGGCGTTGGACTTGTCCTGCAGAGGACATTACAGATCAGATCTGAACAGTGTAAACAACGGTGGCATTCTGTGAGTGGGGGGGGGGGGGACTGACCTGAGCCACGAGGAACCTGCAGCAGTGGTAGAACACCTGGGCGTTGTGTGGGCAGTCGGCCAGAGCGTTCAGCCACATGCTGACGGCCTGCTCGCCGTTTCCTCTGCTGATGTGGAGGTCGGCCAGAGCGTCACGCAGCGAGCACGAGTCGGGGCAGAACTCCAGCAGGGAGACACACAGAGCCACGCCCTCATCGTACCTGCAGGGACACACACCTTCCTGATCAGACCTAAACGGCCCCGGGACCCTTCAGATGGTCCTACTGTTCCTCAGTTTTATTAAGAACGTATTAAACTATTCAGGGAGACTCAAACATCACGCTGCCAATATTGGAGGCCCTCCTCTCACTTCACTCGCTTCAATGGCGCCAACTTAGGGACGTTTCAGACGCACCTAGATTAGACCCCTCTATTTTTTCCCCTCACAAAGTGACAAATCATACTAAATCTTTCTGCATCATTTGACTTTGGCAACAAGTGAAAGCAGTGATTGCTACTATGAGCCTCTCCCTCCTCCAAAGCAGAGAGGAGAACAACTTCAGTCCGTTTCCCCACTCAAACGAATCACACATGAGCAAAGCTTCCACTGATTCCCTGAACTAGAAAGCAGGATGAAGATAGAAGGTGAACATGTTTAATTGTTACATTTAATTAGATCCTCCCAGTAACTGATTCACCTCAGCCACTGTATTTACATTACATTTAATGATTCAACATCATTTATATATGTAAATATTCTCAAGGTTAAATATTAACAAATACAATAATTTATTTTATAAAGTAAAATTTGTGGGGATTTTTAATTATGTGTTCTATTTTATCCCTACTGACCACCAGAGGGCAGTGCAGAGAGCACTGAGTGTTTCCTTCGTTCATGCGCAGTTCAAGTAATTACACTAAAGGCTGATTTATGCTCAGAAACCAGGTCGTCTGCATGTGTGTTGCAGTGAAAATGTGCCCCCGCCCCTGCTGCAGACACTCTGCTGCACCTGTCCAAAATTGTAGGTGAGCGCAGACAGGAGGCCTCTGATTGGTCAAATCTACATCCGCTCTACACTATGCGTATTTCCTGTTTGGTACCTTACCGGCTCGTTTTTTTTGTTTTACCGCCATTGTGGAAAATGAATCGTAAAGATGGATCAGCTAGAAGAGCGAGGTTGGTGAGAACGCTGGGACCCTTTTTCCACCTGGATCCCTGCTCATTTTTACCCTCAGGTCCCTCCGTTTTTACACAATCTTGCCCCCACTTCCTCACCGCCTCGGCCTTATCTAGACCCACAGCTAGTTCCTGATTGTCCCTCTTGCATTGTGGCGTGGAATAACATAGCGCAGACCACGCTTCAATATTGGGCATAAATCAAAAATATCTGCGACACACTGCTGCCGGGATTATAACCAGCCCTTAACAGATTCACACCTCTGACAGCCTGGATTACCACTATACATGCTGTGGTGTCTCTGTAAAGTCCCTTGAGAAGGTTTGTTGTGAATTGGCACTATCTAAATGAACTGAACTGACTAGAAGTAATGGACTCACCTTTGCAGCACCTTGTAAAGCAGGATGAGGTTGGCGTAGAGCGGCATGCAGGCCAGCGTCCTCTCGCTGTCCGGCACAGATTCCTCGCTACACTGACTGATGGCGTCTGAAACGGCATCAGAAGAGATGAGAATCGGAGATCAGAGCCTTAGCTGCTCTGATCGGAGGCGCCGCCTCAGACCTTTGAACAGAGCGACGAGGATGTCGGGCGGCGTGCTGATGTCCTGCTGCGTTCTCCACGGCAGCTGGAAGGACTTTGTGCAGACCAGCCGCCCCGGGCCGGACTGCACCGGGTCGTAGAGGCTGGATGGAAGCTGGTCAAATTCGGTCAGGTGGATGTAGGAGAGCCAGAGCAGCGCCCTGTGGCTGGCCGTCAGGAACTCGGCGACGCTGTGATCCTTAGTGGATTTTAAGGCCGCCTGAGAAAGAAAAAAAAAATGACACACCATGAAAAGATCTGCAGCCAATAAGAAAGCCTTTATTATGAATTCATTTTAAATCTGAGCATCCTGCTGCCGTCATCAAACGGTCTAACAACATGTCGGCGGCCTTTAACGTCTCATCAGGAGGAGTTTTACCTGTAAGATGGCCAAGGCGCTCTCCATCCGGCCTGTGAACAGACTCAGCTGCACTCTGTAGAGCAGAGCCTCCATCAGCTGGAAGGAAAGCTTCTCAGTGACGCCCGCCGACGCCTCGGTCTGCAGGAACTGCAGCAGGCGGTCGCACACGTAGTCTTTCCCCTCAAACGAGCTCTCCAGGTTCAGGTACTGAGGAGCAGAACCAGGAAGACCCATTAGAACCTGATGAAGATCCTAAACACAGCTGACAGCAGTTCGGGTCTCACTGCAAGTCAGGCAGGATTAACGGAGGCCTGTAACACAGATGGAACAGCAGCTTCATGTTCTATTGAACAGGAGCCGATGTTCGCCTCACTGCTTTATCTCAACACTCGTCCGCCTCCAAACTGTGGAATCAGTGGAAGCTGCTCTCAGGAGCATCAGGAAGGACTGTGACTTTTTAAAGGGGACTCGGCCCTGAAACAGGGGCCTACCTTCCACCACACTCTGTGGTTGGGCGCGTGCTCCACGGCCATCTCACACATCTCCCGCACCTCCTCCTGGCTGCCTCGCCTGGAGAACAGAGATAGGTAGTGGCTCCACACCTCGGGGTCATCACAGTTGCTCTCCAGAGCTCGAGACAAGGTGTTCAGAGCTGCTTCCAGACACTCGGCTGCAGAGCTGGAGAGATCCAAACACATGTTGGAACCAGAACCACGGAGCAAAAAGCAGCTGGGACAGAAACTTACGCCTCGCTTTGGTTCAGGTACTTGAAGGCAAGTTTGATCCACAGCTGAGTGTCTCTTGGACTCTCCAGGATTCTCGCCTCCAGGTTGGAGATGTCGTCCGTCTCGCTGATGAAGTAGCGGCGGTCGTCGGAGGTCACCACGTCCACAGCAAGCATGACGCTCTGAGAGAGGTCGGCTGATCGAACAGCATGACACAGATGGAGCGATTAGCTGCTAGCTTGGTCCAAATAACTGGGATCTACATACATGCTGCAAACTGCAATGAAAGCACAGGTCTGTCTCTACTGGAGGAGAGAATCTGAAGTCAGAAAGATTTCCTGGAAATGAGCCAATCACAGGCCGTTTACTTTCTCAAGATGGCTTCACCCTCAAAGTGACAAAAGTTGACATGAGCCCAGAGAAAAATATTGACATGTAAGCAGGAGATAATCTAAGGAATTATAAAAAACTGGAGAAGGAGGATGGAGTCCTGGCTGTGACATTTTGGGGAGCTAATGATTCAAAACATGTATGGAGAATAGGTTATGTGTTTTTCTAATAAAACTGCTCATATCAGTGATTATTAAGCACGAGAGCTTTACGCAGAACTCTGACTTCATATGAATCTGGACAAGTTAATGACTGGATAAAATCAGATTTTTTTTTTTAATCACTGCTGCACTTTAATGTCATGAGAGCTGTACGAAACGAAATTTCATTTTGTATAAAGTTTGTCTAAGTTTCCCATAGGTAGAAAACTGAACCTTAAAGGGCAGATTAGACTTCTGCAACCGAACACATCAAATGTCGCTTGGGTCTGGTCGTGAACCAGTTTTGCTGGTGTGCTTCTGCACCGTCGCTCTGGAATTTCTAGGGAAGCACAGCAGTTTCCCACCAAGGCGCAGGGTGGAGCCTATCCGAGAACTCGCGAGAACTTCGGCGGATGGTCACGAGAACTTCGTTTTGGCAGAGATCTTGGCATCTTTATATAGTTTGTCCTTGATTAACCTTTCGTCGTAGTTATCCATTGTAGTTGTTTCTTGGTTTTTAAAAATGGCGCCACCAAAACCGAATCGAGAAGGACGACCACACAGACAGCCGGAAAGGCATACTAAGGACCAATCACAGCTGCTTTTTGTCTGCGCACTTCTGCTTCCGGTCTGCATGGGTTTGCGACCATCCGACGCATAGTCAGGATTTTTTTTAGTGCGCGACAGCGGTTGCGGTGGCTATGCGTCCTTTAATCCCACTGAAATGACTGGAAAGTCCCCTGATGTGACGTGTTGTGAATTGGTGCTAAAGAAACAGGGTGCTTTTATTTGAATATAACCTAAGTTAATAGGGATGCACGATATTGGGATTTTGGCCGATACCCGATATGCCGATATTTTAAAACTCATGTAGCCGATAACCGATATCGATACCGATGTTAAAGCTGGACAAAAATAAGTAGTCATTGAAAATAGCAGTTTTGTTATCCATTTCTGACACCTTGAAAAATAATATACTCAAATATATTTTCATATGCTGATATCTAATTGATTTTTAAAAACGCGGTATCGATCTATTTTACTTTCAAAATCTCGTGAAATTTCATCGTTCTGTTACAAACTCTCGTGATATTTTGCAAATTCTTGTGAGATTTTGTTAGTAAAATAGATCGATACCGCGTCAATATATCAACATATAAAAATATGGCAAAATTTCGTGAATTTTCGGGGGATTTCGTAGCATAACGATGACATATAGCAATATTTCATTAGTAAAAGAGATTGATATGGTGTTTTTAAATGGCAATATATCAGCATATGAAGATATTGGGATATTTTAATGGATCAATATTTTTTCCCTCGTCTTTAGAAGTTTTTAAGTCTGTAAAAAATAAGTTTTTAGGAAGAAGAAGAAGTAGTATTTTTTTTTTTTTTTAGACTTTAGAAACTCAGAAGTTGATCAAATATCGGGTTAAATATCGGTGGGGTGGCCGATGTCTGATATTCAGTTTTAAGGCCGATACCGATAGGGGGCCGATTATATTGTGCATCCCTATAAATTAAAGAAATTCTTTTTTTTAAAAGGGTACTAATTTCTTTCCAATAAATTTTTTGCAGCTGATAAAACTTTACTTTGTTCAGAAACGTAATAAAATCAGAAGCTGTTACAGGAAAACAGCTTCAGCTCTGGAGTCTCACCTCCTTCTTCGGGGGTCAGATATGCAGCCGCTGCCTCGTCATCGCAGTCATCCTCTGGGTTGGCGGGAATCTGTGCCGACGGATTTGGTTTCCACCTCCTCGTGTCTTTGCAGGTTGTGTATGGAGGCACTGAGAAGCCAGAGCAGGTCGATTAAAAGGTCTGAAAGCTGCAGCAGCTGATGATCAGAGTTAAGGGAGGATCTACTGTTATGCCATATGCCATGATCATACTTTTTGGACATTGGGAAGCAGTGTCCATATTTCATCCTGATAGGATGACCAGAGAAGAAAATGCAGCTTTGGAGAGTAACAGCTGGGGGACTTCTGCAGCCCCCCCTTTTTCAGCAAAAGCAGTCACAAGCAGTCACATGGAATCCAGTAGAGGTGTGAAAAACTACCCCCCTCCCTGTGAGGACAGAACAAAACCACAGAGCACACAGGATTCTCTTCTCCTCTTCTCTCTTTCTCCCTCTTCTGATCCAGCCTGCTTCTGCTCCTGCACTCAAAGCTGGGGCCCACTGTGGCCCACAGTGGAGATGCGGGCCCCAGGGGAACCAGATCCCCAGAACCATCGAGGATAAGTCGAACCCTTCAGAACCAAACTGCTGCAAACAGAACTTTTGCAATACATTTCTCTTGAGTTTCAGAACTTACAGAGCCAAACTGGATGAGGAGCATGCCCTGGTGTGAGACTGAGAGGACCCCTGCTGTGAGACTGAGACAATGAGTCCCTGACTGCAGAGCTGCAAAACTGGATGAAACTCAAGCTTTCCAAATGGACATGGAAAAAGGTTTGCAGGTCTGGCATGATTAGGGACAGAACAAGCAATGTGTCTTTGATGATGCTAATCATATCGTGTGTTTAAAGCTGAGCAAAGACAACGCTAATTGATGTTAAAGAATGGACTGCATGCTACGCTATGCTACAGGAATATGTGTTGAGCTGTTGCTAAAGCTTAGACAAGCTTTATTCACTAAGGGTTTAAACACTGATATAACATTAGTGTTCACGTGTTCCTCAAATGCTCATTACATTTCCATTACCAAGTCTGACCAAGAGTCATTTAGTGGAATCCTGATGTCTATTCGCTGCTAGCTATTTCAAAGAGGGTAAAGAATCATTTAACTAAAGGTTTTTGGTTCTTGATTAAGCAAATCATTTAATAGAACATTATTTGGCCAAATAATGTTTTATTCACCTCATGGATTTGCATTGTGAATTGGTCTGAAAACATTCCAATGTCCTTAAAATTAGTGAAAAGCTAATTTGATCAGATCCCAAATTCTTCCAGATAAATTTTGGTTTCAAACACAGAATCCATCTTAACCTGTCATATGTTTTTCAACCGTTTTCCCCTTCCTCTTTGTACATAGTAGTTAGTTTAGTTTAGTTGAGTTTTACTAGTCTTGGTTGAGAGTGTTAAACTGAAATATGTTTGACTTGGAGCTGAATGATTTTTGTTAATAAACTCTTATATTTTGAACAGAAGTTGTGGTGAATTTATTCCATGTACAGGTGCTGGTCATAAAATTAGAATATCATGAAAAAGTAGATTGATTTCAGTAATTCCATTTAAAAAGTGAAACTTGTATATTATATTCATACATTACATACAAACTCATATATTTCAGATGTTTATTTTGTTTAATTTTGATGATTACAAATGACAACAAATGAAAATCTCAAATTCATCATATCAGAAAATTAGAATATTGTGAAAAGGTTCAAAATTGATGGCCCCTGGTGCCACACTCTAATCAGCTAATTAACTGAAACCACCTGCAAAAGCCTTTAAATGGTCTTTCAGTCTAGTTCTATAGGCTACACAATCATGGGGAAGACTGCTGACTTGACAGTTGTCCAAAAGACGACCATCGATACCTTGCACAAGGAGGGCAAGACACAAAAGGTCATCGCTAAAGAGGCTGGCTGTTCACAGAGCTCAGTGTCCAAGCACATTAATAGAGAGGCGAAGGGAAGGAAAAGATGTGGTCGAAAAAAGTGTACAAGCAAGAGAGATAACCGCACCCTGGAGAGGATTGTGAAACAAAACCCATTCAAAAATGTGGGGGAGATTCACAAAGAGTGGACTGCAGCTGGAGTGAGTGCTTCAAGAACCACCACACACAGACGTATGAAAGACATGGGTTTCTGCTGTCGCATTCCTTGTGTCAAGCCACTCTTGAACCACAGACAGCGTCAGAAGCGTCTTGCCTGGGCTAAAGAGAAACAGGACTGGACTGCTGGTGAGTGGTCCAAAGTCATGTTCTCTGATGAAAGTAAATTTTGCATTTCCTTTGGAAATCAAGGTCCCAGAGTCTGGAGGAAAAGAAGAGAGGCACTTCATGTTGCTTGAAGTCCAGTGTAAAGTTTCCACAGTCAGTGATGGTTTGGGGTGCCATGTCATCTGCTGGTGTTGGTCCATTGTGTTTTCTGAGGTCCAGGGTCAACGCAGCCACATACCAGGAAGTTTTAGAGCACTTCATGCTTCCTGCAGCTGACCAACTTTTTGGAGATGCAGATTTCATTTTCCAACAGGACTTGGCACCTGCACACAGTGCCAAAGCTACCAGTACCTGGTTGAAGGACCATGGTATCCCTGTTCTTAATTGGCCAGCAAACTCTCCTGACCTTAACCCCATAGAAAATCTATGGGGTATTGTGAAGAAGAAGATGCAATACACCAGACCCAACAATTCAGAAGAGCTAAAAGCCACTATTAGAGCAACCTGGGCTATCATAACACCTGAGCAGTGCCACAGACTGATCGACTCCATGCCACGCCGCATTGCTGCAGTAATACAGGCCAAAGGAGGCCCAACTAAATACTGAGTGCTGTACATGCTCATACTTTTCATGTTCATACTTTTCAGTTGGCCAACATTTCTATAAATCCTTTGTTTTTATTGGTCTTCAGTAATATTCAAATTTTCTGATATGATGAATTTGAGATTTTCATTTGTTGTCATTTGTAATCATCAAAATTAAACAAAATAAACATCTGAAATATATGAGTTTGTATGTAATGTATGAATATAATATACAAGTTTCACTTTTTAAATGGAATTACTGAAATCAATCTACTTTTTCATGATATTCTAATTTTATGACCAGCACCTGTATGGGCAGAAATAACTGTTTGACCATGATTAGTGCTGGAATCAATCTTTCATCTATTGTTCTAACACATAGTTAGTAGGACTGTGTGTCATAAACACTATATAACAGCTGAAATAATATCTGATTAAGATATTTTACCACCCCTACAGGGGAGGGCAATAAACATCTTAAAGTATCAGAAACATAAATTCCCAGCGGGCTGGGAATAGAATTTACCTATAGAATCACAACACTACCAACCGTGTCTCTTGCTCTCGTTGACTTTACTGACGAGCAGAACGGCTTTCTGATCGACGCCCATCCGGTCTTTGTTTGGACCAAACAGCTTCTTCATGTAATTCTCTGCACAACAGAAACATTTTCAATGATTTCTCTCTTTCTGGATGCATCAAACGCTGCGGTTCTGCACAACCCCACCTGTGGCGGTGCGGATCTCCTCGTCCGAGCTGCTCTCTGAACAGCCGATCAGAGTCAGGTTATAGGACAGGATGTCCTGGAAGAGCTGGTTCCCACCCATGGTGCAGTTCCTCATGTGCTGCCTGCAGACACACGGCCGTTAGAGCGGGCGGCGGTCAGGATGGAGACGGAACCGAGCGGCAGGAACTCACCATCTGCAGCCGTCGTCGTTGCAGGTTCCGCTCAGGTCGAAGCGGCAGAAACACTTGTTTGGTTCGATGGTGTTGCTGTATGTCACAGAGCTCAGAGAAAACTTCTCCTTGGTTCTGTAGTACGGGCTGAACCTGCCGGGCGAAAACGCTTTAATCTAATCATCAATCAGCAGCCAAACCGTTCCAAACGCTTCTGGTTAAATCATTTCTACCTGTAGGACTTGAAGACCAGCAGGGGGCTGTGGTACGGCTCAAAGGACACCGGCTTCAGCTCTGATACCACAGGCTGGTTCCCAGCGTCCAGCTCCACAGGGATCACCTGATCAGAGCCAGAGGAGAAGTCAGCTTCAAACCAACCCTGTTGGTTCCTCTAATGATCAGTCAATGATCAGACCAGAGGAGCCCTGCTGGTTAGAACCAGCTGAGGAGGTTAGGGGGACCTACCTGTCCAGCTGGCGGGTCGTTCAGATCCTCCTGTATTCTTATCAGCTCCCTCTGCAGCAGCTCCTCCAGCCGTTCCTGCTGCTGGTATCTCTTCTTCAGGCCATCGAGGTCCAGACCTGCAAACTTCTGCTCGGGGACCTCCGAGCTGGAGGCCATCTTGGTTGGCTTGGAGCCGGCGGCATCTTTAGGAGACGCAGAGGTCGGAGTCTCCAGGTGGGGTTTGGTGAAGGAGGTGCTGGACTTCCTGAGGGAGGATCGGCGGCCGCCTTTGACCGCAGCCGAGGGAGGGGCGGGATCTGGATCCTCAGGGATGTCCTCGCTGTCCAGAACCAGCTTGTCCTGGGACAGGTCGTGCAGAGACGGCTGAGGTAGGTGGAAGGGGCTTGCGGGGGGAGGCTGCTGGCTCTGGGCTGCAGGCGGGGGGGTGGAGGCTGGAGCCGGCGGTTCTGCCGGGACCGCTTTGTTATGCCGAGCCTGAGCCTCCTTCAGTTTCTGGATCTTGAGCGCGTACTCGGACTCCAGCTGCTGTAGACGCCGTTTCTGAGCGATGAGCTCGGCGAAGTGCCGCTCTGAGCCGCGGGGGGGCGCGTCCAGACGCTGCACCTTACTGGGCTGCAGAGACAGAACAGAAACTCTATCAGAACGGATCAGACCGGCAGAGGAAAACATCTGGAAGATTCTGTCCAGCGGTTTGCATGTAGCCGAGATCTGCTCGGGTCACCGTTAATGAATTAAACACCATTTGAAAATAAAAATCAATAAGAAACTAAAATAAAATCTTTTTATCATCAAAACAGCCGAATTCAGCAGGAAGCAACTTTTCAAATAAAGCACAGAATAATCCTTCATTTGTCATCAGACTGATGGAAAATCAGTCTTCAAACTGCTGATAGCAGCGCCATCTTAGTCCAGAAACCGCTTCCTCATCAACCGCAGTGTAGCCATTAGGTGCGAGTATTGGCATGGGTGTTGCGATACAATATCATCACTATATTGCGATAATTTTCCTGCTATCTAAATACAATTTATAGACAAAAAACCAGCCTCTGTACTAGGGATGGGGATCGAAACCCGGTTCCATCAAGGACAAGGACCCGGTTCCACTTTTTTCAAAACCCAAAAATCAATAACGTTTGGGCTTATCGATACCACTATCGAGTCTGGTCGTTTTGTTTTTTTTCTCCCGGAGGTCCTGTAACATAATTGTGTGTACCTCGAGTCGCGTCACAGCATTTAAATCTAATCAATCCAATCACTGCAGCATGTCCACCAATGTTTTGCAATGAAATTGTAAGCAAACAGATATTAAAAGTAAAACAAGTGAAGTCTGGCACTTAACTTTGCTCGCGACTCGAGAATGGCTGAACGGAAAAGACTCCTCCTCCTCCTGCTGCTGCCGCCGCACCACAGTCGGGCCCGTCTTAATCATCCACTCAGAGTACCACTGATAAGCGCGCACACAGACTTTGTAGCTTGTCCGGTCAGTTAAAAATAGTAATTGTGAAATCCGTGTTGTAATCGGCAGCATACAAGCTAGTTAGCTTGAAAAGTAAATAAAGTTTCAGACATGCTGCGTGATGATGTGTTCAGATTGGCTCAGTAAAACGACAATTAGGTTATCATGATGCGTTCAAGTGTAACGTAAAGAAAGGGGAAATTTAGTTTTTGGTGAGAAACATGAGTACTACAGTTGTATATTGCTCTATATATAATTAAACTACTGATGCCAACATTTATTAAAAATTACATTTAATTTAAAATACAATTATTTATTTGTTAAATATTCTCCTAATCACTAAAAACATGATGAAAAGTGACAGTAGACAATACATTAACCAACAATTGTGAAAATATATTCTAGTTAGTTTTATGTCATTTCGAAGTGGCCTATCACATTAGCCATGTTTATTGAAGGCTAGAAACGTTTTTGTTATGCTCACTTGTTAAGCAATAGAAGCAATACCAGTTCTGTTAAAAAAATTTGTTGCATCGTCTTTCCACCAAATAACAGAAAAGTATCGATAGTGGTATCGATAAAGACTCGGATCGATAAGGAGTATCGATAAAGGTATCGATATCAATAAATATTAACGATCCCCATCCCTACTCTGTACATGTTCATTAGATGATATCGATCGTTCAGTTATTTTGGCATCCATGTTGTTTGGGGTTTGAGTCAGTTCATGTCTTCCACTGTGACCACCTCAACTACAGATAACGCGCTGCACCGCACAGCCAAAGGGCGCCACAGCACTGTCTACCAGAGTGGCGGTACAAAGGTAGCCCATTTTCTAAGGAAGCGTTCTGCATTCACAAAACAAAACCGAAAAAACAAAATAAAATCAGACAGCTTATCTCATAATCATGAAATATTGTCTATAGATTTGGTCATGATTTACTTGAGACAGTAAGGGAGCATCTCTCAGAAAACTGGTCTTTATGATTATCTCTTATAAATATCTACAACTGTTCCACTGAACAGTTGTAGATTCGCTCCTGTTTTTCACTTGATCAACAAAGTAAACACATAACTCCGGGATTACTACTTACTACTTTTGGAATAAGCTAGGGATGCACGATATAATTGGCCCCCTATCGGTATCGACCTTAAAACTGAATATCGGACATCGGCCACCCCACCGATATTTAACCCGATATTTGATCAGCTTCTGAGTTTCTAAAGTCTAAACAAAAAGAAAAAAATGCTACTACTTCTTCTTCTTCCTCAAAAACTTCTTTTTTACAGACTTAAAAACTTCTAAAGACGAGGGAAAAAATATTGATACATTAAAATATCCCAATATCTTCATATGCTGATATATTGCCATTTAAAAACACCATATCAATCTCTTTTACTAATGAAATATTGCTATATGTCATCGTTATGCTACGAAATCCCCCGAAAATTCACAAAATGTTGCCATATTTTTATATGTTGATATATTGACGCGGTATCGATCTATTTTACTAACAAAATCTCACAAGAATTTGCAAAATATCACGAGAGTTTGTAACAGAACGATGAAATTTCACGAGATTTTGAAAGTAAAATAGATCGATACCGCGTTTTTAAAAATCAATTTGATATCAGCATATGAAAATATATTTGAGTTTATTATTTTTCAAAGTGTCAGAAATGGATAAGAAAACTGCTATTTTCAATGACTACTTATTTTTGTCCAGCTTTAACATCAGTATCGATATCGGTTATCGGCTACATGAGTTTTAAAATATCGGCATATCGGATATCGGCCAAAATCCCAATATCGTGCATCCCTATAATAAGCATGCAGCCTTATGACCATAAGTGAAAATCCGTCAACAGCTCTATTAATACAGATTCCATAAAGTTTTCGTTTTTCATATGAATGGTCATGCCGCATCAAGTTGGGACCTGGTCGTTTTAAACAATGCTGAAGCCTCAGCTTTTCTCCTGGCGGATCTAGGATTTTGAGAAGGTGCCAGCGGACAGTTCTTTGGGAAACCACTAAGCCAGCTGGGATGCATTTCAGATGCATTCATTTATAACCAATAAGCATCCTGTGCTGGTTTATTTGCTCCTGCAGGAACAGTGCGACTTCCAGCAGGTCAGGGTAGAGTGAGCTTTTCCGCCTAAACAATCCTAAGGAATCACTGCGCAATGCTAACAAACTAAAACTAATTGAGGAAACTCAGTATTTCACTGTGTTGCATAACTAAAAGGAAATAAAAGCAGATTAAATCTGACAACCAACTCATTGTTCGTGTTTCATGTAGCATAGCTCAGCAATGACTTTCCTTCCTGATCTGCTAAATATAACATATTATCTTATTATTATGAGATCTTATCTCGTAATAATGAGATAAGATCTCATAATCACGCCCCTAGTAACCATGGTGATTTAAACCAGTGTTTTACTGTTTGGCTATGTGTGGGTTCTAGGTCCTCCTTAAGAGTGATACCAGTGTCTCTATAAAGGTAGGGACCTGGGACACCATGTAATCCTATAAAACTTCCTGTCAGACGAAGGAGTCGACTTTGAACTTGATAAAATTCAGTGAATCAACAGCCGCAGCCCACAGATTGATCACCCACTGTGGAAACGTCACAGCAAACCAGCTAAAGTTTCTGGCTTTCTAAAGACTCATTAAAAGACCTTTGGACAACGGAGCAGCAGCCCAGTCCCTTTACTACAGGGAGAGGTTTCCGATTACGTCTCTCACTCAGGAGCGGCCTCACAGGAAAAATATCACATCACCTCGTTTCAGCTTTTTAAATGACTGTAGTTATAGAAAACTCTTGGTGTGGGCTTTGCTTCAGTCCACTAACGGGCTTCTGTTATCCTTTTTGCTTCAGCTTCTACCAGAGCATGTGAGCGGAGCAGTTTTCAATTCAAAGGCAGGAGTGTGGCTTTCGCTCCACTCCAGTTCGCTGCGATGCGTTCCCGTCAATTAAAAATATTGGATTAGGGATGCACGATATATTCGGCCCCCTATCGGTATCGGCCTTAAAACTGAATATCGGACCCCACCCCACCGATATTTAACCCGATATTTGATCAGCTTCTCAGTTTCTAAAGTCTAAAAAAAAAAAAAAAAAAAAAAAATTCTACTTCTTCTTCTTCCTCAAAAACTTCTTTTTTACAGACTTAAAAACTTCTAAAGACGAGGGAAAAAATATTGATACATTAAAATATCCCAATATCTTCATTTGCTGATATATTGCCATTTAAAAACACCATAACAATCTCTTTTACTAATGAAATATTGCTATATGTCATCGTTATGCTACGAAATCCCCCGAAAATTCACGAAATTTTGCCATATTTTTATATGTTGATATATTGACGCGGTATCGATCTATTTTACTAACAAAATCTCACAAGAATTTGCAAAATATCACGAGAGTTTGTAACAGAACGATGAAATTTCACGAGATTTTGAAAGTAAAATAGATCGATACCGCGTTTTTAAAAATCAATTTGATATCAGCATATGAAAATATATTTGAGTTTATTATTTTTCAAAGTGTCAGAAATGGATAAGAAAACTGCTATTTTCAATGACTACTTATTTTTGTCCAGCTTTAACATCAGTATCGATATCGGTTATCGGCTACATGAGTTTTAAAATATCGGCATATCGGATATCGGCCAAAATCCCAATATCGTGCATCACTATATTGGATTATAAAATTTGTAAAATAACATTTATTTGATTGATTGACTTAAATCCTAGGCCAATCCATATGCTGTAGTCTGTGCCTCTAATCTGTTATAGTCTGTTTCAGAGACGAGGATTTCATGTTGTGTGATAAAAAAGGGTTGTAAAATATCATAAAAAGATACACTAACTATACTTAACAATACAGAGTGGGTTTACATAAAGTGATCGTTGTGGTAAGAGCCTGTTTTTGAAAATGGATCGCATACATGCATTATACGCTGCTATCTCAGTCGCAATGGGAGGCAAAGTGACCTTTTTTTAATGTATTTTAGTAAAATAAATTAGTAATAAATAGGAAACGCGGGGCAACATGAATGGAGCGAGTTGTTGCGTTCACAGATGGGAAAGAGTGTGATAATTTAACAGCCAGTTAAATAAGACAATCCACATGTATCGGTAACATCATTAAATCATTAAATAATTACATGAAGGAAAAACGTCAGAAAAGCGAGTGTGGAGAGATTTCGCCGGAGCATCCAGGTGCAACATTGATCGGCAGAGCGAACATCCTCCTGAGCGGGGAGCAGGAATTGTGCTCCGTTCACATGCTCTGGCGCCTACCAACCGCACTTTTTTCCTTCCACTCAACTTTCCAGTTACTTGCTTGGTCAGTTTCTTCCAGAATCACTAAAAATGTAACAGCTTATCGTTCCAGTGGAGGTTGTCGATGGATAACATCTCTCTGTATCGTTTCCGGTAAGCAATGAAAAATAAATGCTTGTAATATGACAGAGTCAGTAAGAAAATAAAAAGTGTTGGATTAACTTCTGATCTACTGAGATTCCTGCAGTCAGATGGTGGATATAAATTAATTCATTAGAGCATCCTTTTAACAAAAAGCCTAGAGGAAAGCTTTATCCGTTTGCACTGTTGTTCTGACTCTTGAAGAGGCGGTCGCATTTTCCTGCTGCTCTGAAACAGTTCATGCAGGGAGATCTGTCCCTGCTTTGCTGTGTTTCTGTCTTTTCTAAACACTCTCTTCATATCACTCGAATTTAGACAAAGGATTTTCTCAACTGGAAGACAGGGAAAAGGGGAAGCATCCTGTCCTGCCGGGACATACTTTGTGGGATACACCATCGACTCATGGAAGGCTTTCCTTCTGCTGAAATGTTCGCCTCGTGTTTACATGTGCTTTTCTTGTGCTGAGGTTTTTTGACATCTCAAACTGTATCCTGTCATGGATAAAGTCCGAAATATGTAGCCCCTGCCTTTCCCAATGTGGCTCTAAACTTTCCGCAAAAAAAAAAAGCAGCACTATAGTGAACCGCCCTGCGGGACCTGGGCAACCATAAGAATCCCCCAAAGGCAAATTCTAGAAAATGCTTCCTGTGAATGACAGGAAGCTAAAGCCGGCCCTCTCACCACGGTCTGGCTGAGTTCTGCGGGCCGTTTGGGTCCTCTGCCGGCGGCCAGCTGAGCCTGCATCAGCTCCTGCTCCAGTCGGACGGCCACCACTTTCTTCAGGGACACACGCTTTTCAACGCGCTGCACCTGCAGGGGGACAGGAAGCTCCTGTTGGCGGTCTGAACAGAATGGAACCAACAGGACCAGGGGATCATGCGTGTCGGGCCGACCTGCTCCTGCAGCTTCTTCAGCAGCGCCCTGTTGGCCGCCACGATCTTCTCAGACGCCTGCAGCTGCTCCCTCAGTTTGATCACCTTGGTCTCAGACGCTCTCAGCGTCTCCGTCTTCTTCAGCTCCTGCTGTAGCAGATGTCTGAGGACGGCCTCGTCTCTTTGCAGCAGATCTCTGTGGAAACACCGAGGTCATCAGCTTCGGGGTTCAGAGGCGGAAGGTAGAACCTCCTCTGCTCTCTGGGGTGGAAGGGGGGGTTCAGACTCACCTGTGCTTGTTGAGTTTCTGCTCGGCCTCAGTCAGCCTGAGCTCCGCAGATGGTTTGGAGGAATCCAGGACGGGTTCAGAGGCAGCAGAGGAGCCGTGGTCTTTCTGCAGCCTTTGCTTCTCCCTGCTGCAGAACCAGAACACGCTTCAGAACTCAAACATCTCCAAGTCTTTATCTCACTCCTTCCTGGTCCTACCTGGCGATCTCCTCTTTGAGGAGGCGGTACTCTGCCTTCTTGGCCTCTGGTAGTGTTTCTCGAGTTCTCACCGGGTTGTTCTCCTTCTCGCTTCCTGATGCTGCTTTCGGCTTCGTCGCCTTTGAAACATCGGCAGAAGAATCAGCTTTAATCGTGAAGCAGAGCAGCAGGCGTCACCGCCGGCCCAGACAGAGCCTTACCTCCACAGTCCTCCGGACCTCTTTGATCATGAACTCCAGACCTCCGAACACGGCCTGCGAGGAGCTGCAGGTATCCATGTCCGAGTCGCTGTCATCCGAGTCTTTGAGGGAAACCACCACTGACTTGTGCCTGGGGAGCTGAAAGAGGAAGATGCAGATAGTCTGATCCTGGACCAGATGGGGGGGACAAACACCAACATCTGGAGGTTCTTACCACCAGTGGACCTCTGGCGGCGGGAAGCGCTCTGCTGAACCTGCTGCTGCGTGATGGAGGCACCGTGTTCAGGCTGACCGTGCTTAGATTCCCTCTGGGAGGCGGCTGGACCTCCGCAGGAGGCGGGGCGCTGGGAGACGGAGGACCGCTGGAGCTCTTCTGCTCAGGACAGAAAACACCCTGATGATGGCAGAAAGGAGTTGAATTCAGATGATTAAACCTGAAACCTGTCTGCTGTAATTTAGTTTAGTTTTGGCTCTAGATGATAAAGCTGGGGCGTTCAGGAGCGACGGTTGATGACTCAGTCTGCTTGGCTCGCCTCAGCCAGTTTACCAGTTTAACCAGTCTGAGCAAGAAGACTCACCTCAGCCGCCGCCACCCTTTTGTTGGCCATCGACATCAGACATGTCTCCCTTAGCAGCATCTCTTCCTCCTCCTCCTCGTCAGCAAACGGAGGCTTGGGGGGCGGCTCCGGTTCATCAGGAGGAGGGGGGAGAGGGGGAGGTGGGGGAGGAACGCCCGACAGGATGGGGGAGAGGAAGGCCTGCGAGAAATCCTGAGGAGGAAGACAGTAAGAGAACATTATTCATTAGGAATAAGGGTCTGGATAGTGGGCTGCGTTCAAGTTCACGTTTATATTCGGGGATCAGAAGGCAGGGAAGGGTTCCAATTAAAGGGTCTCTATAGCCCCATTTACCCTTTTGAAAACGTGCCGAGATGACTGTTAAGTCAAAATGGCACAAATGAACCGGACTGTGCCAGACAACCAAACTGTGCTAACATGGTACCAGTTCATCAGTAAGACTCGGCGCGGTTCAGTTCTGGCTCGGGTCAAAGAGAGCATGAGCAGACCGCGTCCTCTCCTTACCGTCGGCCTCCGTAATCATGACATTTCAGACATTCATAAAAATACTAGCTTCTCTACCGTACCACACGATTTCCAGTGATGATTCTGCTTAGTGGTGTAGTAAACCTCAACTTGTTGTCTCCTGTGTCTGTAAGCCCTGATTAGACTATCGTTTGTCGTATCCACTTCCCAAAAGCTGATTCTGTCAAATTCATCAAAGACTGGCTTCTTTGCCTGCAAACATCCTGAATGTTATGGGCGACGCCATGTTGGTTCGCTTGTTTCCCTCTAGAGAGCAGTAGAACCGTAGATTGCCACAAGGAGGCGAGGAACCATGCTAGCTTGATGTGTAAATGGTCGTAAGGACCCGACCTCGGCACGGTTAACTGATCCAAGCTCAGCACGGACCAGTTTTCAGAGGGTAGTGTAAATAGGACTTATGCTTAAAAAATCCACTCTGAGCTTTTAAAATCGTACGGAAACGGCCATTCAAAAGTTCTCCCGAGTGGTGCACGACTTTATAGGAGTGAATAAACGAATGTGATTGGTCAATTATCAAGGGGGTGGGATTGTTGTGGCTGAAGGTTCGAAAACAAGTTTGATAGTGGCCGGTGTCTCGGAAGCATCTTGCTAACCAGTTAGCAACTTAGTGCTAGCAGGTTCCCAATGGGAAATTCCATTGGGACCAAGTAGCACTTAGAAACGAAACATGCAAGAGGAGAGTTTAGTGTCGGAGGTTGTGGATGAGTCTCCTCCGTCATCCATTTTTTATTTAGAGGAGGAAAGCGGGGACGAAGATGTTGTGGAAGAGGACGCCAGGGCGGCAGAAGCTTGGTTTGGTGTAGAAGGCTTCCAGCCGTACGTTTGAGCCCTTGCCTCGCAACGCTGCCAGTTCTGTTAGCTCTACGCCTGCCGAAGACACAGACGTCCATCCCCGTGAACACTGGGACGCAACTCAATGGGAAAGGAAAGGATTCTGATTTCAACCGTTGCGTATATTAGCTGCGACATAAGAATCAAGATGCTATGACCAAAAAATTAGATTGACAGAGGATCATTGATATATGACTGGCCGAATTTAGGTGTACAAGCTGATGTATAACTGGCACGTATAAGATAACGGAAAAAAAATAACAAAACTGAATAAAGAGCACATTTATATACATGTTTAAGCCAGAATTATTTGACATTTAAATATGACTTCCCTACGACTTTAACTATATTCTAAAGCTGTTCCAAAGTCTCTAAACTGGTGTTTGGACTGATTCCTGCGTCTATAAATTAATCCTCAGGAGTTCTGCTGTCTGAGCAGCAGCCCCTCCCTCACCTGTAAAAACAAGCAGGTGGAGAATATCTGCATCAGATCCCAACAGGAAGCAGCTTTGACTAAAAAAAACAGCAGTTTTTTTTATTTGAATAATTTATGTGAACTGTCGGTTTTAAATCATAAAACTTAAGGGGAAAAAGGATTTATTAGATTTGGGAGGAAATTTATTCTTTGTCTTTTTGGTTTCTTTTTGGTCTCTAGAGGTCTGGTGATAAGGCAGAGTCATGGACTGGATGGCACGCAGACAAAGAGAGGCAGCATTGTTTTGAAGGCAGGCGTTTTTCTTCAGGGTTGGAAAAAAAACAAAAAAAAAGCAATTTCATATCAAACCGATGCTCTATAGGCCAATACATATTTGCCTCTGACGGCCCTGAAAGGCAAAGGCAGGAGCTTTAAGGGTTGGTGTTGAATGAAGGTGGTAATGTTGAGCGTACCATCCCATAGGCGGCCGCCTCAGCCCCGTAGAACCCCAGATGGGGGGGCAAGGACTCATCTGCAGGCACCAGGGTGTGCTTCGGTGACGGCGCTGATAGAAACAGGAAGCGTCTAGTTACCGTCTTGGCTACCCGTTAACAGGAAGTATGGCACTGATCACAGGTATCGGCTCACCTGGGGAGCTGGTCTCACTGTCTGTATCCATGGCAACCTCATCATAGTTGTCGTACTGGTAGAGGTTCCCTGACGTGTCCAGGCCGGGCTTTCCAGCACACTTCCTGAGGTCCTGGTCTCTGGACTGAAGGCAGAGAGCTGATTGGATGATTGTAGGAGAAGGTCGGACTCACCTGAGATGGCGCCGAGGCCGCCTCCTACCCTGCTGCGGGTCCTCCGTCCCCCCACCAACTTCATAAAGCGGTTGTACTGCTCGTCCTGGTTGGAAAGGTCCCGGATCCGGCGGATTTCTTCCTCGCGTTTCCGCCGATCCTCGTCTTCCTGCCGCCAGTTATCCTCCTGTTTCCGCTGCTGCTGCAGCTTCCAGGTTCGTAGCTGCTGCTTCCGGGCCGCCTGCTTGGCCATGGAGCCTGTGGAGAGGGACCAGCATCATGATGCCATCACATTCCACCATTATTTAAGAACTTTACAACCCGCCTGTAGGTGAGTTTGCTGTCAGTTATAGGACTGTAAGGTACTGCTCGGTTTATCACTGCTCTCATCCGGGAGTGTCAGCCAGAACGCTACTCAGGCCAGGATTTTAATCAGGACTAGATGTTAGGAGAAGGTGCAGCAGGTGGAGAATGAAGACATGAGCCAGGATCCTTTAAATGGTCTGTATTCCAAACTCAATTTTGGATTCCAATTGATTAAATAAACATAAGGTATTTCCAGGTAGGTACGTGTGTAAGTGTGTGTGTGGTTTCCTAAAACAAGACAAGAAAGATAATTCAAATGACCCTATCATTACACATTACACCATAGATAAGCTAAGGAGAAAATAATTAAACTCTAAAAAGTTTAACCTCTAATATACTGTTAATCAGCAAACGACAAAGTTAGCTAACAATCATTGCTTGGCGCCATCTAGTGGATGCGTAGGTTTGGCACAACACTCTACGATACACACACACAGCAGATAACCAAGACTTATCAACAGGTAACTAAGAACGAAAATAACCCATTTAACTGCAATAAACACTCAAATATTAAACTTACTCGTCAGTGACGCACACTTATTTGAAGAACACACATATTTCCAAGTCCTTTCTCTGTGTTAGCTCAGTGGTTCAACTGCCTGAACTTTCCAAACAGCAGCAGCAACGGTCGTCACGGCAACGCTGTCCTAACTTCTGCATGCCTTAAGGGCCAAAATAACACTGCGCAGAAACTACAGAATATAAACAGCAGTACCTAACATCGAAACCTAAACTACTTAAAGGAATAGTACACCCAAAACATGTTTGCCTTCATTTTCTACTCACCCCCATGCTGAACAACACTCTGGAGTACTTTTTTGATATCTCAAATGCATCTGGAGATCTGGGAGGCTTCTTGCTGTCTGCTGACATTCAAATAATGGAGGTCTATGGCGCCCGAGACAGAAAGGTACATAAAAGTCCACAAAAAACGTGTCAATATTCCTCCATACTGCTCGTCCAATGTATTCCAAGTGTCCTGAGTGGGTAGCATCCAGAATTTACTCAAAACGAAGTCATTTAGAATGTTTTTAGAGCATAAACAGTAGTGTATAGGATTTCCTAAAAGCGCGTTCACAACGCTACGGAAACCGCGGCAGACCAAACCAGATGAAAGTGCGCATTCAGCGTCTGCTCTGCCGATAACGCAAGCGTAGAAGAAGAAATGTGCCGTTTACCTGTGCAAAGAAAGAAACAACAAAAGAAAAATGTCTGAGGACTTCAGTGTTGAGGAAGAGCATGAGTTCTTTGCCGAGCTGAATGCGCACTTTCATCTGGTTTGGTCTGCCGCGGTTTCCGTAGCGTTGTGAACGCGCTTTTAGGAAATCCTATACACTACTGTTTATGCTCTAAAAACATTCTAAATGACTTCGTTTCGAGTAAATTCTGGACGCTACCCACTCAGGACACTTGGAATACATTGGACGAGCAGTATGGAGGAATATTGACACGTTTTTTGTGGACTTTTATGGACCTTTCTGCCTCGGGCGCCATAGACCTCCATTATTTGAATGTCAGCAGACAGCAAGAAGCCTCCCAGATCTCCAGATGCATTTGAGATATCAAAAAAGTACTCCACAGTGTTGTTCAGCATGGGGGTGAGTAGAAAATGAAGGCTTATCATGTTTTGGGTGTACTATTCCTTTAAGGGTCTTTTGTACACCGCCCTCAGAAGAACCCAGACAGAACAAAGTTTTAAATAAACAGGTTTTGTTGCAGTGATAGGAATGTTTTTAATCATTCAAGAGGCTCCGCCCACTCTTTCCACCCCCAGCCTCACCTGGACTGATCAGCCTCTTGGTGCCGTGAGCTCTTGCTGGGGTCCGGCTCCTGTCAGCCGGGACTCTGGAACCGGGTTTAGGACTCTGCTTGAGGCGGTCCCTGTCAGCCGGTCTCGGCCCGCTCTTGGCTCTGTCTTTCTCCAAAGGTTTGGACCTGCTGCTGTTCTGCTCTGCAGCGGCGGCCGCCGCCGACCGGGTCGTGACTCGCTGTCTGTCCGGAGGAGTGGCTCCAGAACCAGGAGCGGAGTTCTTCTCCTGGGAGGCTTTAACGATGCGGTCTTTGCTCTTCTTCATCACCTGCTGCTCCTGCTGCTGCCACTTCTTACTGGCTGACTGCAGCGCCAGGAGGCGGAGCTGCAGCTCTGACAGCTCCTCCTCCTCCAGCTTCTCCACAGGCTGAGAACACAGAGTTAGAAGCTGTTAACATCCCATTCTTATATGTAGAGATTGAAGATATATCGATTATTTTCAGATCTAACCAATCACCTAAGCTGCCAAACATTTTGCCTGATTCTTAAACATTATTCTTTCTCTTCCTCAAATGATAACAAATGTTACACATTTAGTAACAAATCAAAGAAAACATTAATTGCGGTAGCAGATGGAGGAACCAGAAATGAATATCCTTCGTTTGATCTCAAAGGATGTCTAAACGCACTAAATCAGCGAACATGCAAGATTCCGCAAATATTAAAAAACAACAAATACTAATATTGACCAAAAAATTAAGTCGGTCGCTATATTGGTCCATCTCTGGCAGGTGTGTCCTAATACAACTTTTCCATTTCCGATGCGACACCGATACTTCAGCTTTGATTTTTGACCGATACCAACATTGACCAGATACAATATTAGTAGGGATGCACGATATTGGGATTTTGGCCGATATCCGATATGCCGATATTTTAAAAGATATTGGGATATTTTAATGTATCAATATTTTTTCCCTCGTCTTTAGAAGTTTTTAAGTCTGTAAAAAAGAAGTTTTTGAGGAAGAAGAAGAATTTTTTATTTTTTTTTAGACTTTAGAAACTCAGAAGCTGATCAAATATTGGGTTAAATATCGGTGGGGTGGTCGATGTCCGATATTCAGTTTTAAGGCCGATACAGGCCGATACCGATAGGGGGCCGATTATATCGTGCATCCCTAAATATTAGCATTAATGATACATAGTTTTACTGTTTCATAGTGTTGGATGTTAGAAAAAGCTTGATAAGCGACATTACTGAAAGAACAACAATAGGTCATGTGCTATTACACACAGCTTAACTTTAAAAAGAAGCAGAGGATTCATATCATCATGCAAATATTTCAGACTTTAGATGCAGTCAGATATAAACGGCTACATGTTTTTTCGCTTATATTGGACAGATATCGGATCAGCGCAGCCCTGATCTCTGGTTGCATGACGCAGATTCAACCCGACGTGCTGGGAACTGCTAACCCAGAGAAAAGAGTAATAAATGATAGACAGCGCTGCAGGATCGTCATGGCAACCAACGCCAGTTAGTTTTCTGTTTTTCCCATTATGCAGAAAAGCAACACAACTTGTTTTATAAGAAAAAACGAATTTCTACCACTCAACCTGCTGCTGATTTTTTACTCTGGTTAGAGCCTCCCCTCCTTGGAGGCTCTTTGTTTCATTCTTTGTGATCTAACTGCAAACACTGAAACCGCTGCTGAAGACAGTGAAGGCATCAACCCGTCCATCCAGCTCTGGATAGAGCTCCTCGGCTGCTTTCAGAGAACAGCAGATAGTTCCTGTAAAGTTCTCCGTTCTCTGTTCCAGATGGACTCTCTGGGGAGAACCCCCCCCCCTGACTAAAATGGCTTCATGAAAATGGCTTCCAGATCACAGCAGCTAACTTAATCGCATTTATATCAACTCATTCTGAGATCCCTTAGGCCTCTCTCACACCTCGACGATCTAGCCAGCGTCTGCCTGACGTCCCAGAATCTCCTAAAATGCTGGCATACGCTGAACTTTCTAGGTATTTCTTTCATTTTAGGGGGTATACACGGCGTATTTTGAACGAGTCCAAAACTTATGTCCAACGACAGCCTAACTTATGCATAACGCACAGCAGCCTAAGGCGTCACGAAGCATCAGTTAAAGCTGCTCCCCTCAGGTGCATCGCTACTCCTGAGGTGGGCTGATTACCGTGTGCACTCCCTCAAAAAAAAAGAAAAAAAAAAAAGAAAGAAGGTTTGCAGTGGCTCAGATTAAGCGTCATGTCTGCTAGGAGGATTGTTGGTCATCGTCGTGAACGCAGCAAAGATCCATCACACTCACCTTCCCTCTCCCCCTATGATGGGGATGAAGTCTGGAGGACGACAGACGGTTTCCTCCTGTGAACCCCCTTTATACCAAAATGCTGCCAATACGCCATTATACAGTAGCTGGAAGTTAGAAACACCTTCAACGCTCGTCTGGAACACGTCAGATACGTTGATATTAGGGCTGCAACTACCGATTATTTTAAAAATCAATGAATCGGCCGATTATTCGATGAATCGGACAAAAAATTTTTTTTATATTAACCTCTTTATTCCAAAATAAAAATTTTAGACATAACAAACAAGCACACAAGTACAGGTTGCTCATTAACTGTACTGGTGCAATATGAAAAATAAATGTTTGTGTTAAAACTACGCAAACTTACATGAGAAATGTAGCTGTACATCCACAGAATATAGGGTAGTTTGTTTCATAAAGCACAAAAAAATACATTTTTGTTTTTAAAAGCCCCTAAGGGGTTCAAACAATAGGCCCCCCCATTTCAACAAATGAGGTTTTTTTAGACTAGAAGAGTTCTGCCTTTTAAGACAGGAAAGTATAGCAGTTAAAGTTGCTACTTGAGAAAATACTGAACCATAGAGATAAAAATAGCCCTGTGATTCAAATTATAAATTGTATTTGGAATAAAAATGAGAGAACTAGGGGTGGTAAAAAACACATCCTCCAAAGACAGATATTTACATGGGAATGTGGCAGATAATTAATTGAAATATTACTGATCTTGCTGGATTTTATTCTGCTTTACTTCCATAAATTGCAGGATCTTCTTTACTTTATCTTTGCCAGAAGATTTAAACTTTAAAAGCCTTGCCCTCATAATTTGCAAGTTAATTTATTTATAAAGTAAATACAAACGCTGCTTAAGCTAATTCAAATGAAATTAAAAGTAAAATAAGTAGCCAACCTTATCCCTGTCTGTAACCTACTAACACGGTAAGGAAAGCATCAGATGAGCTACCTGAGAAACTAACGATACGTTTCCCCACTTTAAAACCAAACAAACATGGTGGTTCCGTGCCATGTTCATTTTTTTTGACAAAAGTTGCATGTTACGACTTTTTTCACTTTACAAAGCGCAGCCTATTTTAATTATTGTGATCAGTTTGCTCCGTCAATCCCGGCGCGTTCACGAGTCTATGGAAACCGCGGCAGACCAAACCAGATGAAAGTGCGCATTCAGCGTCTGCTCTGCCGATAATGCAAGCGTAGAAGAAGAAATGTGCTGTTTACCTGTGCAAAGAAAGAAACAACGAAAGAAAAATGTCTGAGGACTTCAGTGTTGAGGAAGAGCATGAATTCTTTGCCGAGCTGAATGCGCACTTTCATCTGGTTTGGTCTGCCGGCTTCCATAGACTCGTGAACGCGCTTTCAGGAAATCCTATACACTACTGTTTATGCTCTAAAAACATTCTAAATGACTTCGTTTTGAGTAAATTATGGACGCTACCCACTCAGGACACTTGGAATACATTGGACGAGCAGTATGGAGGAAGATTGACACGTTTTTTGTGGACTTTTATGGACCTTTCTGCCTCGGGCGCCATAGACCTCCATTATTTGAATGTCAGCAGACAGCAAGAAGCCTCCCAGATCTCCAGATGCATTTGAGATATCAAAAAAGTACTCCAGGGTGTTGTTCAGCATGGGGGTGAGTAGAAAATGAAGGCTAATCATGCTTTGGGTGTACTAGTCCTTTAACAGCAGCTGGAACCTCACAAGGTTGTGTGTGAAACATGCAAACGGATCCAGGGACCGAGCGAGAACAGAAGCAGTTGACCCGCAGGGTATCAGAGTTCTCCCTACAGCTGCTGAACTGATTACTAAAACCTGAGACGTAGCATCAGAGCGTCACCTTGTCAGTCGATTCCTCGCTGGAGGCAGACGATTCGCTGCGACAAAAGCTGACATCCTGAGCGTTTTGTTTCTCCTCCTGATCGGCCTCCTCACCACAGGAAGCGCTCAGCTTCTCCTCCACAGTCGCAGCAACATTTCCTTCAAGTTCTGTGGCCGCCGAGCTTCCTGGTTCTGCACCTGATGAGACACAGAGGCAATGAAGTGTAACTGGCATCCGTTTCTGCTCTGTTGAAAAGCAGATGTGAATCAGAGAAGGAACCAGCTGTTTAAAGGGTTAAAAGATTGACTGAAGCATCAGAAATGTGACCAAATACATATCAGGTGCCCAGCTGATGGGAGGGGCAGTTAAACATGCAGGAAGCTGGATTCCTGTAACCACTGAGTCCCCTAACAGTGAAGAAGAGCAGCATCTTCTGGTCTCCTCATCATCACACTCACCATCTGCCCCCCCTCCTGCATCCTGCCCTTCCAACTTGCACCGCACCTCATCCAGGTCAGCAGGCGTGGGAAGTTTATGTCGAAGCGGTTTGATGTTGAACGCAAGGAAAGTTTTATTTTCACTCTTCTCCAGCTGTTCAGCACCTGGAGGATCCAAAGGCAGTTCTGGTGCTGGTTCTGGTGTCAGTCTGGCCTCCACAGGAGGAGCAGCAGCAGGGGCGGCGTCAGTCTCTGGGACAGGTGAAGCTGCGGGCTCCAGCGCCATAGTCTCCGCCTTACGGATGCAGTCCAGCTCCAGCTGGATCTGCTTGTACTTGGACAGAAGATCCTCGAAGCTTTCGTCCATACTGGGACTGGCCCTGTTCACGCTAGAACCCACTTTCCTGACCCGGACCCTCGGCGGCTGCTTCTCTGAGGTTTCTCAATAAGGAAAACTAATCATTAAAGAAGTCAGGAAATGAAAGGGTGAGGAGAACCTTTAGAAAAAAACAAAGGATTTTGTGGAGAGATGACATACGTAGCTAACAGAAAATCAGGAGAGTTGGTCCACAAACTTCACATCTACTAAAAAAACAAACCCTCACATTTCAGCTGATTTATCAAATAGTCAGAATTTTGAGTCTTTACCAGTGTTGCACCGATGCCATATTTTTTGGACCCGCTATGATTGGTCGATACCGATACCATCTGTTTGAAATTGATGTGTGTGTTTATATGAAGAACTTCATACTACTTGGATGTAAAATAATCACCATCATGGCTTCATGTCAAGCTGCTGCCTACCTTTGTGAAGCAGGAAAAAGACTAAAACAAAGTGAATCCAGTAGAACTTTTTATTGCCTACCTGGAATGAATGACAATAGTTGAATAAACTTTTGGCTCTCTAAATGGTATCGGTGCACTAAACTGAAATTCATACTAGTGTTGCACCGATACCAGTATCGAATGGATCCAGCAATAAAAAGTTCTACTGGATTCACTTTGTATTAGTCTTTTTCCTGCTTCACAAAGGTAGGCAGCAGCTTGACATGAAGCCATGATGGCAATTATTTTACATCCAAGTAATATGCAGTTCTTCATAGATATACACAGATCAATTTCAAACAGATGGTATCAGTATCGACCAATAATGCACAGCCAGGTATCCCAAATATTGCATCTGTGCAACATTATCCAGAGTGGCTGATCCCTGATCAGTCTGTTTAAAACATCTAATTATTAAATAAACTGCATTAAAAGAAAACATCTCATCAACTTCAAGTCATAAAAATCTACTTGAGTTTCGTTTCTTTCTAAACATAAACTGAAGTCATCTCTAAACGCAGACAGTAAAATCTGTCCCCTGATCTCCATCCTGATCCACTATCAGCTGCTCCTGTTGTCACTCTGGTTCTGATCCTAATGTTTATAAACCAGGATCCAGTTTAGCTAATGGTTTGCTCCGGCTGCTCTCTATAACCCATTCATCCGGACCGGTTCTGTTCTTGTCGGGGATTGTCCTGCCTGTCAGAGAGCATGGACTCAGGTCCAGAAAGGATACGCTTCCTGGACGGAGATCCGTGGAGCTCTATGGGTCCAGCTCTTCCAGGCCCAGCCCTGATGTTCCCTCCTGGTCCTCCTCCTCGGTTCCAGGAGCCCCGTCCTCCGTTTGGCATCACCCGGTGCCGGAACCTCCCCAGGGCCCCGTGGCTCCGCTCCCAGAAGTTGGACCGGTTGTTCGTCTCTCCATGCATACCGAGTCCGGGTGGCGGCGGCAGGGGCAGAGGCGGCATCCCGGGAGGCGGAGGGGCAGGAGGCCGGTCTGGCTGCCTAAGGTTGGGGGGGAACGGACCGTGGAGGTGGGGTACGGGGTTGTAGGGCATCATGTGTCTGAAATCCTGGGGTGGGGGACCCAGTAGAGGTCGCATGTTGTGCGGTGATTGGTGCAGTTTCCTCGGCCGTGGCCTGGGGCCGCCGCGAGGCCTACGCCCCTCCCCCCGCCGCGGAGGAGCTCTCTCCTCGGTTTCATCATCACAGATCTCTCCGTCTTCTAGCTCCCCGTCCTCTGCCGCTGGTCGCCCGGTTGTGTTTGAGTTCATGTCGGAGTAATCGGGGCTGCGGATCAACTGACGGCCGCGGAGGAGCTAGCTTCTCTAGCTGGTTGTCCGTTTTCTCTGCTGACTACTCCGGTTCTTCTCAGGTCCCTGCTAGCAAATCCAAACAATCGCGATACTACCAAGGCTGCGCGAGACTTCAGCTTTCTCTTCTTCGTGGTGATAATTGGCGATTCTCCATTACCGTATCGGTGCATTACCGCCACCAACTGACTTCAAAAGAGGAAAGAAAAACAACAACAGCAATAAAATAAAATAAATGATAAGTTTTCAAATAAACCAGTTTGTTTCAGATAATGATTAAGAGGTTCAAAAATTGGAAACTTCAGCATTAGGACGGATTAACTTTCAAAATGAGTATTATTGGTCATGATTGTGAACAAAAACAAATAATTTGACATCATGGGCCTGTTTCAATAAGGAAGTTCAACCAACTCTGAGTTAAAACTTGAACTCTGAGTTGACTTATCCTGAGATTGGAAACTCTGAGTTTTGGGTTTCAGAACAGCTGAAATGAGTTAGTTTAATCAACTCTAAATTGACTGACTCTGAGTTAAGCGTGTGCACCACAACTATAAAAAGCCATTATCAATGGAGCACAGATATTACGAGTCACCATGGCAACAGCGTCAGACAAAAAAAGGTGTGCATATTTCTCACCAGCAGAACTGGATGTACTTATGCAAGCATATGCAGAATTTGAACATGTATTTAAAAAAAAAAAAAGCAACACGACTGCAGCGGCGAAGGAGAGAGAGTTAGCTTGGGTGAAAATAGCTGCTAGAGTCAATGCGTAAGTTTACATTTTAATTACTTTTATACAGTGTTGGGTGTAATGAATTAAGTTACTTAAGTCATATAAATACTGTAATTAAATTAAAGACTATAAAACAATTGTGGATTTAATATCAAATTTTTAAAAGGTATATTTTGATTTGAACTTTCTCCCTCTAGTTACACACTTTGGTCAATTTAAGATTAATTCATGCAATTGAATATTGTTTATTTGAGAGCATTAGAAGTGCAGTTTCTTGTCTCTCCTTGTATTGTTCAAGTGGTTGAGGTTGATTTGGGATTTAGAAAGTAATTAATAAGTAAGTAAAACAAATTAGTAAGTAGACCAATACTTTCTAGAGTCTAATTATTACATTAATCTAATTAGACTTGTTGAAGATAAAATTTGTAGTTAGTAATTAAGAACTATTTTAGAGTAACTTACCCAACTGTTATAGTATCAGAGGTGAAACTGGAAGAACAGTATTTTATTAAACCTAATTTAGTTTTCATGGATAGGTGCAATCCTGCAGGCATCAAAAGAACATGGCAGCAGCTGAAAATGAAATATAAAAACATACTTCAAGCAGGTAAGCCTTGAGCACACCATGGGAGTAGAGTAGCTACCTGGCTTTACAAACAGGATCATCCATAAAAGGACATGCCATTTCATTCCCTTTGATGCGCTCTACGTGACTGAAATGTGTGCAATGAATACTGTATGTCCCCAAAGAATCAATGAGGTGTTTAAACACCACTTCCTCTTTAAAAAAGGGGAGGAGACCAAAATAAACTCTGGATTTTCTGAAGAAAACCTGCTCCCGACCAGGTTAGGTTCACAGAGTAAATTGCCATGGTAACTGACTTTGAGTATAAGTTACCTCTCTTTCAGAAACGGGCTTGACTTACTCTGCTTTCTCAGGTTTAACTTACCTCCCTTTCTGAAACAGAAAACCCAGAGTTTCCCTCATTTCAGGGTTAACAAACTCAGAGTTTTCACTTAACCTCCTTTCTGAAACAGGCCCCAGGTCACACTCAATACAAACATATAAACTTCAGAGAAAGTAAAAAACAATAGATAGATAAAACAGTTTGTTTATGTAGATTGTTTAAAAATGCAGTTTTGCATCCCATCCAGGAGGCTTTTTCCTTTCAAAAAATGTCAGCGTGTCCACTTTTTGTTTGTGTCCATTTTTTTTTTTTTTTTTTTTTTTTGCTGTTAGTCACTCCAAGATCAACTGTGATACATAAAATAAAACCTTTATATGCTGTTGAAGATTCTCAGTCATCCAGGTCATAATCATTCCAAAAAAGTAAAAAAAAAAGCAAAAAACAAAAAAAACAATCCACTGGACTTTGTTTCCAAGTTTGAGGACATTTTTCTTCCCATCCAGAAAGCTTTTTCAATTCAAAATGGCAGAAATAGTGTTGAGTTCGAGGCTTTGTAGAGTGGATCAAAAACAAAGCCTTGTTTTGACTTAGAAAACATGCAAATTGGACTGGACAAACAAGTTCGCCCCCTAGGAAAGAGCAGTCTTTAGGGTTCTTTGGTAGCATGCAATACCCCTTACCTGTCTATGCCTCTTAAAGGGGTCGTAAGAGGGAATTGTTGGCCTGGCTGAACAAGCGAGATGTTCTATTCCCTCGTACGGGGGTGGGGGTTGCGAATATACAGGAAGGAATCGATTCTATCACTGCAATTCTAAGCTTAAACAAGGCTTTTTTTGGGTCCACTCTATGAAGCCTCAAACGTGCTATTTCTGACATTTTTAATTGAAAAAAACTTCCTGGATGGGAAGGAAAACGTCTTGAAACTTGGAAACAAAGTCCAGTGGATTGTTTTTTAAGTTTTTTGGAATGAATATGACCTGGATGACTGAGAATCTTTAACAGCATATAAAGGTTTTATTTTATGTATCACAGTTATTCTTTGAGTGACTAACAGCAAAAAAAGGTTTGACATATATATATATATATATATATATATATATATATATATATATATATATATATATATATATATATATATATATATATTTTTTTTTTTTTTATTTATTTATTTATTTATTTTTTGTTATTTTGATTAGATTCAGATGTAACTAGGCATGATTTCATAAAAAAAAGAGACAAAGTTTACATATTATGACTGAGGAGATGTTTACATGTATGACTGATAAACATTGGAAAACAACCCCCCACAAAAACTAAAAAATAAAAAAATTAACCATGTCAGAAGAAAACAAAACAAAGATGACTTTCAAATTTAAACTATATTAGCAATACTACTTGGGCTTCTGGATAGTAAAAAAAAAATAACACTTGTTTAACAAAAACTGCTTTGGGATAATACAAAATTAATGCTCTTTTGAATAAGAACGTATCCAGAAGCAGTTAATTATTATAACAGTAGTGTTAGTCTTTATCTCCTGTTAGGAGACCAACCTTTATTATATTACACTTTAAAAGAGGGTTAAAACTCACATGCAAGATTCAGCTGAAAAAAGAGAAGTTCTGTTTTCTTAATTACAGAATCTCAAAACACACAGGAATTGATTGTAATGTTGGTAAGGTGCAAGTATGTTGAATATTTGTTGAAAAATGTAATAACAATGGTAAACATGCATCATTTTGAAGTTGTTCTTTTTTAATTTACTTTTTGTGGGAGTTAAAAAGGAAACAAACAGGCCTCTGGTTTTCTTAAAAGCGATATCTCCATAGTTTTTTTAAATAAATGTTTTCTTTTTCAGGTTGATGTAAAAAATATTGACAGCAAAGTTTTTTTTGGTGAAATAATAATTTCATTTTTGTAAATAAAGTCAATGCCATTTCTAATCAAAGATGGTTATTTGGGGGTTGAGTGAATGTATAATCATATCTTTAATTAGTAAAATCAGAGTGAGAGGACGTGCCTTTAAGTCTTTCTTAAATTTACATTTTTTGTACATATATTTTTTATATTATATTGACACAAAATTTATATCTGTTTCCATGAGGTGTAGAAAAGAAAACAATACCTTTCTTTATCCAGTGTTTGTTGAATTGTTTTGTTTTATCAGGTGGTAGCTGTTGTTCCAAATGGGGACAGAATGTGCTGAAAAGTTATGTTTTTAAAAAGAAGTTTCTAATAATTAAAAAATCTGTTGATTTTATAGTTAGTTTAGAAATTACAGTCACAGTTCATCAAAAGTTTAACTCCACCAATAAATGTACAAATCCCATACGTCATAATTATAAACGAAGCTCTGTAGCCATTTCAGTTTGATGGTATCAAAATCTATATCAGTTCTCCTCATATGTTTGGATCTGTCTCTGCATATAAAATGAAAACTGCCTTTATTTATCAAGACTGAACATACGGACCCCTTCATCGCTATTCTCCTATTCTGCAATATTAGTTAGTTCTATCTCAAACGTTTTGCTCTTTCTGCTTTTTCTCATCATAATAGCTTCATCTGGTCTGTCCCTGTTTGGCTGTTACACCATTCAGGAGAGAAATATCAGCTGTGCTGCTGCCATCATGCCCTGACCTATTTTTTAGTGTTTAGTCCTGTTTCTGTCCTAGACTAGCTGTGGGCTCAGCTTTTACTGTGACTATGTCCCTTTAACTGACTCTCGACTGTGGAGCTAGTTTACTATGGAGAGCCATTTCAGCCAAAATTAAATAAATAAATGGGTGAAATAAATAAAAAATGAGTAAAATAAATCAAAAAATGAAGAAAATCAGTGAAATAAATTAAAAATGTGTTAAATAAATAATTTAGCTTTTTCATTAAACCAATTTTTAATTTGTTTATTTTTCATATTATCAATTTCCCAATTTCTCTTTTTCATTTATCTATTTGTCATTTATCCCTTTATCCATTTTTCATTAAACTTATTTTCATTTAACCACTTTTCAATTTCCCTTTTTCATTAAGCCAATTTATTTATTTATTTAATTATTTTTCAGATTATCTATTTCTCAATTTCTGTTTTATCTATTTTTCATTCATCAATTTTTCATTTGTCCATTTTTCATTTATCCCTTCATTTATTTACCCATTTTCCATTAATCTATTTTTTTAATTTAACCATTTTTCAATTTCCTTTTTCCATTAACCCGATTTTCTATTTCCCAGTTTCAATAATCAATTTCTCATATATCCCTTTTTTTACTTACCCATTTTCTTTTATCTATATTTTCATTTACCCATTTTTCATTAATCTCTTTATCTATTTACCCATTTTTCATTAATCTATCTTTTAATTTAACCACTGTTCAATTTCCTTTTTCCATTAACCCGATTTTCTATTTCCCAGTTTCAATAATCAATTTCTCAAATATCCCTTTTTTATTTACCAATTTTTCTTTTATCTATTTTTCATTTACCATTTGTTTGAAAAAAATTTAATTTTCCCATTTTCCAATTTCCCTTATTCATTAAGTATTTCCTTATTTTTTTAATTTATCACATTCTATTTTCCCCTCTTCGCTTCTGCTTTAATATGATAATGAGGGGCGGTGTCTTCAGGCTACAATGGCAGCCTATTGGTTGGTGAGCGCTGCAGTTGCATCTAACCAACCAATAGGCTGCCATTGTAGCCTGAAGACATCTGAAGGGTTTTGTGTTTATTTGAATCCGTGGTTTATTTTAAACTGATATAGCATCCAACTTAAGCCCTGTGTCTTTTAGGCTTTTTGATGTTTCCTCCTTCTTTCTCTGAACAAGTGTTCATCCAAGCAACGACAGAATTGTAAAGTGCCTTGAGATGACATGAGTTATGAGTTGGTGCTATATGAATAAACTGAATTGAATAATCACAGAAGAGGCATAAAAATGTTTTATTAGATGTCACAAGAGATATGTGATAAATTTGTTTTTACAGCAGACTTAATATTAAGGTTCTCTGAAGTTCAATATATATTTCAGAAAAACATCAAACAATACCTCTTCATACTCCTTTGCTTACATAAGCTACTAATTACTAAAGGAAAGTTGACTTACTCTATTCTAACCTGAAGAACAATATGAAATAACATTTTCAGGAAATTAAGTTCACACACAGATTTCTTTTCAAGGTTTCCGCTGCTGAGTAATTAGTTATTACTGTGTAATGCACCCTTGCCGCCTTCCTATTTCAGCTCTTGCCAGTAAAGGTCCGACCTCAGCTATGAGGGCAGTACCTTCCTCCTCATCAAGATCAGCCACTGCATCAACAGCCCGAATGTAGGTGTTATTTGTCTCCCCCTGGCGCCGCTCATCCTCAGCTCTCTGATCAGGGTTTGTTCCTCTCATTTCGGCATTTATTGCTCGTTCTGCGAGCTGAAACATGGAATTACTATAGTAGCCTCTGTTGTTTTTAATTTCTTGAAATCTGGTTATTAGACCATTAACATTATTATTCAAAACGTAGTAACCTGCTTCACAATCTTGAATGAGGTTAAGGAGAACTTGCTCTCTCCTGATGTTTTCTATGTCCCCATAAGTGAACAAGACCATAGTGTGACTGGCTGCTCCACCTCCAGACAGAGTCTGGATGATTCTCACAATGTGTTCCTCTGGTGGTCTGCACTGATCTGGGTTGATCACAATCAGGAACACATGAGGACCAGGAGCACAGAGGGAGACACATCTGACCAACTCTCTCTTCATTTCACGAGGTGTTAATCCGTTGTGAAACAGACCTGGAGTATCAATTATTGCCAAATTATCTCCAGTGTCTAGGACACGAGTTCCTTTCATACAATGCAAAGTTTCAATTCCTGGTACAAAAAAAATTCCTCCTAAGATCTGGTTTCCCACTGAGCTCTTGCCACTTCGAGTCATACCAACAAGCAATACAGTGATTTTCTCTTCTTCCGGAGCTGTTAAAAAAAGAAAGGTCTGTTAAAAGTTATTGTTTAAACCAGCTTATTTAAAAAACAAGACACTCTAGTGATCTGATAACTGCAGCTGATCCAGGACGCTGCTGCCTGCGTCCTCACTAGAACTAAGAAAGTTGAGAACATCAGCCCAGTTCTAAAGTCCTTCCTCTGGCTCCCTGCATTGCAGAGAATAGACTTTAAAATCCTTCTGTTATTCTGGAAATCACTGAATGGCTTCAGTCTAAAATACATTACAGAGTGATTGACAGTGAATCAACAGCCAGACCATCCAGGTCAACTGGAGCAGATCTAATCTGCAGAACCAGAACCAGCAATCTTTTAAAAATTAATATTATTTTCCAGTCTTTTTCATGTCTATTGCAGTTTCTGACATCATTCTGTAAAGTGGCTGTTTTTTTTTTTTCTATTTTCTCAATTCTTTTAACTAAATTTATATTATTACTTTACTGAATAGTTTTTTTATGTTTGCAATCTGTTTCTGCTGAGCTTTAGAACTTTTATTTTTTTCACGCATTACTCTTCTGTGCAAGTTTTTTGATCCTCTATTTACTATTTCTTATTACACTGTCACATCCACACTTTACTTCTACGATACAATAAAAGCTCGTCTTATAATATTTTTTAAAAATGAGAAATTTGGAAACCTCGGATTAGTTTAAAGTCAAGGTTAAGATATATTTTTTAGAGTTTACTTTAATCTATTTCAACTGTTAGGCGAAATGTAGTTTAGATTTCAAGCTTAATTTTTCTTTACCCGCCTTTTTTATGCCACTGCGTCAAACTTTTTTATGTTTTTTTCCAAGTAAACTTTGTAACTTTGTAAATGTAGGGCCTAAGTTAGCAGAACAAATAAATAATTAGACGATAAGTTTAGCTGGAAACCTCAGATCAGCCTAGTAAAATCTAAAATAGCCAAAAGTGTTGCTGTTATAAGAAGAATTAGTTTCGTCCTGGATTACAAATCTTTGTTTATTCTGTACAACACACTCATTGTACCACATTTAACATATTGTGTGGAGGTTTGGGGGAATACATACAAAACAAATTTACAGCCATTATACGTTTTACAAAAGAAATCAATCCGAATACTACATAAAGTGGGATACTGGGAACACACAAACCAGTTATTTATCAAATCAAATATACTGAAATTCTGGGACCTGGTAATATTTAGAACTTCACAATTCATGTTTAAGGTCCGAAATCAAAAACTTCCACATAATATACAGGAAATGTTTGGTGACAGAGAGGGGGGTTATGATCTAAGAGGTGAAGGATACTTTAAAAAACAACACTTTAGAACAAACAGAAAGAGTTTTTGTTTATCTGTGTGTGGAGTAACTGTCTGGAATGGATTGAATGACGAGTTTAAAAAAATTCAAAATGCAAACCAATTTAATAAACTGATTAAAACCGAGCTCATTTCAAAATACGCTATATAAGATGACTGTTTAATAGTCTATAATGTAACTGATGACATAAATAGAACTTAAAATAATTGTACATGGCTAAACATCATGTGGAATGGAAACAAGTGTTTTTTTGGGTTTTTTGATGTTTTGACATTTAATTGATGATAAATTGACAAGTAGGAAAGGGGCAGGACATTATAAGATGTATCTTCTACCTGCTCCTTTTCGAACAGAAAATATAAAATTTACATGTCACATGGGCAAAATAATTTGTTTTATATTTTCATTCTTAAGTTTGTTTCATTCAATTTTTTTTTCTTTCTTGATTGTTTTTACTGTCTGTTCGAAATAAATAAAATAAATAAATAAATAAAAATAAAAAAAACTTTGCAAGGTTTCATTACCGAAATGTGCTACATTATATAATCTGCCTTGTCTTTCTAATAGACTATTTTAATTTCACATAAAATGCTATGAATTAGTTGTCTGATAAACTCATTAGTATGTTTATTCCACATGATTAAAAAAAAAAATCAAATTGTTTAATCAGTGTACTCTAGGTTTATGTGCTGTATCGTTATCTCCTATAATATAGATTTAGGAAAACTAGTCAAATACAACTTTTAAATTTACATAAAAGTGTTGAATTCTCTGAATATACTATAAATGTAAGCATTTAAGATCGTATTTTTTAGTTTTTAAAAATGCAGTCACAAATTATAACCATCTAAACTTAACATATGTGATCTCTACAGGTTCTTTAGCTGTTTAGTGTCTAAGAGGTTTCATCCATTCTGCCAGGCTTTGTGTTTCCCAGCCACCTAAGTTGCCGTGTTAATGATGACCACTCATCTCCACTCCCACATTATAACCATATGTTATTTTCTTTCCATCGGCTTTGTTATCAGATGCTTTCATCATTAAACAGAGACATGAATGCAGCATTATGTTGAATTGCACCAACTGCAAAATGCTGATTGCACGCATCTGATTCTCTAATCTTAACCTTTGGATGAAAGCGTTTTTCATTTCTTATAATTAAAAAAGGTGGAAAAAAAACATAAAAGATCCACTAAGGAACATTTAGGAATACAAGCAAAAGTAAAATCCCACTTACACAGCAGAAAATACTATTTTAAAAACGGATTAAACTATTATTCATATCATTTTGAACTCACCTAAAAGTCTCTGGATCCTTTCTGGGCTGCTGTCTGGTCCTGAGTTCCTGCCTGAACCTTAAGTAGAGGAAGTAAGTTTTTACATCAATGTTCGTATAAACAAAGACATTTAATCAATTTATGAAGTTTAGATGCATTCAAAGACAAAAGTTAAGATGCCTAAAATGCTTAACAATGTTAAAACAGATTATCACTATTTTCTAAAACTGAAATAAATTGGTTAATATACACAACTAATTATAGATATCAAAAATTAAATTTCTTATAGTAAGAAATGAATCGTAATCCATAAAAATATAATCTCACATAATGAAATTGATTTAAAGCAGACTAATTAAAATATACAACACATACTTGTTTAAGGAATATTTAGAAATTCATAGGTAAGTAAAATCTTAGATATATTGCATATATATTTTATTTATTTACATAAATTCGAAATTAGATTAATTTGAGCTCACCTTTTGATTTCTGGGCTCTTTTTCTGCTTTGGGCCTGTTCCTTGTTTGTGGCTGAGCCTATAAGGGTTTAAGCAGAAATAGAGGAAACATAAATGACTGTAGGATATTATTCTTTTTCATCGGTGTCCCTGAAATGAGCTCAATATTTGTTAAATTATCTGATTATATCATAAAGATGCAGTTTGGTAATAAAGCAGAAAAATAACCTAATTTTGAAAAATTGGACAACAAGAACTTATTCATTGCAACAAAATCAACAAGATCAGCATCATATATAAACTCACCTTTTCTTTTGGGCATATTCCTGGCAGCAGGAGGAGGTGCTCCGATTGTTAAGGTGTTGGTGGTGACCAGCTTGACTCCCATCTCTGTTCTTATATAAAACGCTGATCCCAGTCCCCTCCCATCATCAACCCACAGAAATGTGAATGTTGACATTCATTATGTTGCGGGTCATTTTGACCCGCACTGCGTAAATGCATGCAAAAATAGTCAAGAAAACAGGTTAAACCAATAAATTATTTATTTTAGATTACTTAAACATTTAGTCAAGTCACAAACAATACAGTTTTAATTCACACACTTCATTTAGGTTTAAAATGTTCCCTCTTCACTATTTATTTATTTTTTTTACTTTACCTATAAAATTCATTAGTTACTAATATTTTGAACATTTAACAATTTCAAAGTTCTCCACATGATGGGAAGAATGTAAGTGCTTTCTGCAGATGGAATTCATACATTTCACACAAGTTGTTTTACTGGGAGGGACAGAGCTGGGATCTTTTCCTCTCCACTTCATGTTGGTTGGGTAGCGGGCAGCCTTGCCCTGGCAGCTGTATGTTGCTGTGACTTTGTCCAGATTGCCAACTCCTCCTCTGGTTGAGTTATAATCAAGGATAATTTTTGCCTTCAAGTCCTCTTTTGTGCTCAGAGATATATCAGCTTGCATTGTACTCCTAACCCTAACTCTAAGAACCTTCTGTTCCCAAGATGGTCAGCTTTCATTTCTGAAGTTCTTCTCCAAGGAGGTAGGACATAAAGAGGTCGTCACAAGTGATGTTATGACTTGCAGCCCTTCATTCATCTCCAGCACCACACACATCCCCTGATTCTTCTAAGCTTTTCCTCCATGTAGCTTCCAGTATATACTTGCATATTCCAAGCATAGCTGGATTTTGCTTCTGAGCAATGCTGACTGAATCTCCTCAATTCGTGTGATGGCAAATATGGTAGGACAAGGAGTTTTTATCAAATTAGCTGATGACAGTCTGCATCAACTCTGGTGTGGTAATGTTGAACATTTTATATTACAATCTTCAGATTTCCATGTCACTCTTGTGGAAGATGAGTGCCTCATTCCTGGCTTTTCATCTGTTGGGGGGACAATGGTAGCCTTGGTGCCATTCCGAACTTAGTCCCGCCCACAAAGTTTGAGTTCGGGGAAGTTCGGTCTGGCTCTGCTCCATAGTAGCGCGAGTATTATCGCCCACTGTAAGGCGATCCAATCAAATTGTCAGGGCGGGCTTTATACGATGATGGACAGATGACAAACAGTAACGTAATCAACCACGTGACCAAAGCGCGCTTGGGTGACAACAATAATGGCTGCCGCTGGAGAGTTTGGGTGAGTAGATTCTGCTATTAGGTCTGTTCTAGAAGATATCGACAGCAAATTAATTTTAAAAGAGGAACAGAGAAACGCGATCAAGTCTCATCTTCTTATTCTAGGCGTGAAACCGCACGCTTTGATTTTTGTGGACAACAACTATGCCTCGCTTAACATACATCACGCACTCCGTTGCTCTTATTGGTTGTAGGTCTATCCAATTGAGTGCAGAGGCATTTTTTTTCCTGGTTCGTTCGAAACACGCCCCATAATCACAGCTCTATGGAGCAGCATCAGACTCATATTCTGCCTAGAATTGAGTCGGACTACGTCAGGCTAGGACAATGGCAGACTCTTCCTCTAAATCCTTCTCATCGTAGGAAAATTGATCATCTGGATCAACAATAACTTTGTCTTCTGATTCTGAAAGATCCTCTGTCTCAGAAACCTCTTCCTCTACATCACTGTCCCAGTTCAAAATTTGTGATAAAGACTACTCAGCTGTTCTCCTTCAGGAGCTAATTTTTTGGTGAGTTTTTTCATATAGATGACACGAGAGCAGTGACAAGAACTAGTGCAAGAAAGTTTCCTCCCTTACCATACCTGGGTCTGGCTCTCGGAGGCAAATGAAAACAGTAAAGTACATCAAAAAAGCATTTTTATTTACCTCAGTGGCTACTTACCCACATTAAAGTGTCCGGGTCAAAATGACCCACAACATCATATTTGTATACATACTCTGCACAGACACTCCACTACACATCAGAGTGGCCAGATTTTACATACATGTTCATGACCCCAGATGAGGAAAAGTCACCAAATTTCATGAAGAAAAAAAAAAGATAACTTTGATCAACACAACAAGTGAAATGGGTCAAATTGACCCTTAACATAATATAAGGGTTAAGACAAACTGTCTGTAGATCCAGCAACAAATACTGAAAGCTTTAACCCTGTGCTTAAAAGTTTACAAACTCTTTAACCATCAAAGAAAATGATAAATTCACACTAGTGTTTCAAAAAACTGAAAAAGTAATAATAAATTACTAAATGATCATTAAATAAGATAAAATATTGATTTTTATTTTTAAATGCCTAAAAAAATATCCCAGACAAGTTAAAGCCCCTTGCAGATGAACAGTGAACCTACATCCCTATTGAAAGGTGCAGAAGTCTGACTGAACATTTGCTGAATGTTACAGAAAAACACCTGATTTCAGAAATTATTGCCTCAAAATGTTGCTCAACAACATTCTGGTTCAGGAGCTCCATCAGGCTCGTTTATTTGTTTCATTTATTAACATAAAAATATGCATATATTTATTCAAATTCAATGTAATGATTTCCACTTTTTATAATTTTTATTTATAACTACTTTTGTCAATTTTAATTTATTTTACTGGCAGCTATTTTTCATTTTTTTTGGTCTTAAATGGAAGAGTATGTGAAGCTTCAAGAACAACTGTCTGCATGACCTATGATATAAAACCATGTTAGGGTGGAACACATGATTCTCACAGTAGTGAGAACAGCAGAGAAGATCATCGGGGCTCCTCTTCCCTCCATTAAAGACGTTTCATCCCAGCGCTGCATGTCCAGAGCCCGTAACATCATCAATGACTCCTCACACCCCCACCATGGTTCTTCCTGCTGCCCTCTGGGAAGAGGCTTCGCAGCATCCGATGCAGGTCCAGCAGATTCCGAAACACCTTCTTACCCACCGCCATCACACAGCTAAACTGTTAAAAAAACCTCTAAATCATGTCACAGACTCTACATCAAGCTGACCATGTGAATGTGTTTTTTCTCCCACAATGTTTACATTTGATCACTGCTGCACTTTAAGAAATGGAAATGTCATGAGCTGTGCAAAACAAAATTTCGTTTTATATATACACTCTGTGTATGCAAAATTGTCATGATCTGGCCTGTTTGCTCTCCCTTAATTAGTAAATCCTCTCACCTGCCCTCTTCCTTCCCTGCCTCATTATAATTTATTCCTCTCACCTGTTTCCTCTAGTTTATATTCAGTTCAGCCTGAGCATTCAGGGCCAGATCATTGCTTGTCTTTCTGTCTGTCTTTCTGTTCAGTTTTTATTTGGTCCATGTCCTGGATCCTAGCTGCCAGTGGAAAGAGGGTTTTAGTGTCTCCTGATCGTCCACTGTTCCTCCCCCACGGAGTCCTCTGGGTTTTTGGCTCATTATGGGGGGAGGTTCCGTTTTTATCAAAGTAAGCCTGGCTCCAGGGAGGAGACCAGTTTAAAGTCCTGCTTCAAGTTCCGGTTCCTACGTCCTGTCTCAGCTACCCTCTTCCACCGTGCCTGCCTGTCTTCACCTGATCCTGTCTGCTCCTGTGCGTGACCACCTGGTCATGCTTCTTGTCCCAGTCTGACTCTGAACCCTCCTGGAAGCCTGTGAATGCATGGAAGTCTGGATCCTGCTACCTGTCTCTGTTCCTGTCTGATCTGGATCCTGCCTGTTCCTATCTGTTCTGGATCCCTCACCAGGATCAGCTTCCAGCAGGACCTCTGGGACTGCAGCACTGGGGACACTCATGGTCTGGACTGTTAAACCAGGTAAGTGACCAACCCAGATAATCATATATCAGTTTATCGTGGTCACTTACCTGTGTTTCCTCCCCTAGAGTGTCTGAGATTGGGCGGTGCCCCGTCCCCCCGCCTGCAGTGTCCGCGAGCCACAGCTCCGCTTTTGTTTTGTTTTATTTTAATAAACCTTTTGAACTTTCCTACTGACTGTCTCTCCTGAATACTGGGTCCATCTGTCCTTGGTTCATGACAAAAATGACAATAAAAGTTGTCTAAGTCCAAGGTTTAGGGTTTATGGAACAGGACACTTAGACAACGACAATAATTTCTCTACCTTTTCTGAAAACACAATCTCTTTATAGAACCTACCTACCTTACCTCTGACGTCAATAAGTATAAAGTAGGTAAAGTGATGTAGAGGTCGAGAAGCTCAAAGATTCATGTTCTTTGCTCTGATCACTGAGGGTACTACTGTATAATATTGATACAAAGATAAAATGGTTCCTGGGCACCTTCAGGTAGTTCCATAGACTACCTATGATAACCTGGTTCAGATCAGGGTTCCCATGTCTAAAGGATCCTCAGCCCTAAAAAGGAGAATTTCAGATCTTAGAGACGATCATCCAATGAGTCGTTATATAACTAGCAAAAGTTTTTAACAGTATTAAAAAGTTAAATTATTTTAGAAGTCTGTCAAAATGTTTTATGTTTTGCTTTTTTGGAGTCATGCTGCTGCAGTTCCCTGCATTTCTACTGTTAGGTCTACTCTGGATGACCTCATTTTCATAGATATGGATGCAGGGATGAAACAGCATCAGTTCATCTGCTCACGATGCAGGATATTTAAATTATATTTACATAAAATGAAAACAGAAGAACAGTAACCCCCATTAAATAAATACAGTTAAAACTTATAGAAGACAAGTGTGAGGATTTAACACAAAGAGGATGATTCAGAAACCTGACAGCAGGAAATATCTTATCTTTAACATTTCTCATATTTTCCATATTATCTTGTTTTGACTCAAACTATCCTAAACTAACCAAAATACACACACAGATGTGATGATATTTAATATGTGTTGGGTTAATTAATTGTACATAAGTTATTCTACTTTAATCATATTACTTTAATCATATTATACTTACACATTTTGTTATCTCTATCTTACTCATATTACAAAGAGTGTTAAAACATTTAGTTTTGTTTGCTGTGTCATTAATGTTTTTTAAGTCTGTGCAGGA